CACTGTCCCCATCCAAGAATTGGCCAGGGCGTGAAAATCAAACCTTTCTAACCAACTTTTCACGTCCGCCATTAGTGACAGGTTCTCCAACTTGTTTGCCATCTCGTCGCCAGTTGATATAACAAGGAACAGTCTATTTGGAACTAGCCATAAGAGGCTAGGGAAGTTCATTGATTAGTAAATATGATTAGTAAATATAACAATATCAATTATAGTAATAATACAATATATAACAGGAGCCCTCACTCACCAGCTTTTGAAATTATATCAGCCAAGAGAAAATTTCGTCTATGGTGCACTGAGTGAGGGCTCCTCCTAAGAGAAATGCGTGTGCTGTCATCAGACCATTTTTTCGGTGTATAAGTTAAAGGTGCTCACTGAGAATTTTAATTAAGAACATTTTTGATGATGTATCATTACAACTGAAGGGCAGCCGTCACTCACCAAACCATGGTGTGAATGGTAGTGGCTTTCATTAAAGCAGCGAAAATAACACGAGTGTATATGCCTGGGGTTGCTTCCCAACTATACTGCAGGGGAATCTGTACCGAAAGGACCGTGGCCGAAATGCAATTAGACAGGGAAATCGGCTCCCCGACTGCGGTCGATCAAATTATTATTATTATTACATGTTTCGATTCGATTTTATGGTTTAATTTGCAATTTTGGCTAAAATACTGATGTTTTCCAAATTTGAAATTAGCGGTCAAATTTTTCACTTCCTATTCCCAGCCAGTATACTAGATCTAGAGTGTCTCGCTTTAGTATTATTGGTACCTATTCCTCATATCATATTCTCCAAATTTTTGGCTTGTATTAACCCTTTGTGGGGCTCCCCCTTTTCGTTTTTATTTTAATAAGTTGGCCTTTTATAAAAAAAGGGTGGACCCCCAACCCATGTAGCTGAGACACCTCACAGCAAGTAGACCAAAATGGCTCTTGCTTGTGAAGGGTGTATCAATAAGTTGGCCTTTGACAAGACTTTAAAAACCAATATTTGCTGAGACGTTGAATTGGTTCATTTCTATACTCTTTTTACCTCTATCCTACATATTATATCAGTTGCTGGGATAATAATATATAATAACATCTATAAACAAAAGAGCACCTAAAGAGGCTCAGCAAAGTGCTGGCCTATTTACGCTTACGAAGACTCATTCGTTCAATATGTCTCAAAGTAAATAAACTCCTCCATCCTACTCTATCTCTTGCTAAGTTCACTAAGTTGGTAAAATCATCTTCATTTTTTAAATAAATTTGTCTCTTAAATAGGTCCTTTTTTACAATAATATCATACAAATTAGTCCTGTGTCTACCCACTCGTCCCTTTAGTGTTTGACATCCTAGTGTAGCAAATAACAGAGACTGGTAGGCAGGCGTGTCGTTGTCACTGCGTAGAACATGACCTAGCATTGTCCACCGTGCCTTTTCCACTCTCTCGGAAAGGGGCCTGGTCTGGGTACGAGCGTAGAGGGCCTTGTTAGATATTGAGCTAGGCCAATAGATGTGTAGGATGCGCTTGAGGTGCTTCCTCTGAACAACATCTACAGACTCTAGAACATGCTGAGGTACAGCCCAGCAGCAGCAGTTGTACAGGAGCACTGATACTACTAGTGAGTCGTAGAGTTTGATCTTTCTCTTCTCAGTTATCTGACTCCTCTCTGATCCCTGGCACCACAGCTTGTCAAATGACCAGAAGCAGAGTTAGCTTTATTTATCCTATTAGTAACATCCTGCTCTGATCCAAGCTTAGTACCAAGAAGCGTCTCGTTTCTCCACTCCTCTTTTCCTCTTAGTTCATTACCCCACTCGTCACAGGCACCAACTTCTTCCAAATACACTCTGGTAAACTTTGTCTTTGTGTCATTGACAAAGAGACTCCATTCACTGAGAATATTCTTGGAGATCTGAAAGATATCCTGTAACTCCTCCATATCTTCACCAATCTCCTCTACATCGTCTGAATAGCCGGACTCAAGAGGCATGTGGTTATCGGCTATCGGAGGGTTGGGTCTTGAGGGGAGGACTGCTCTTATGTGCACTACAGCTCCAGCTAGATTGAGGGTAAACAATTTACCAGCTGTGCTGTCTCCTTGGGAGGCTCCTATGTTGAAAGAGAACATCTCTGAGTCAGTAGAACACACTCTGACTACTAGAGTGGTGTTAGCCATGAGGTATTGTACAAGCCTCAGGTCGTCTCTGGAGCATCCTGCAGCTTCTAGTAGTCTGATTGTTGTACCTCTGCGGATGGTATTGAAGGCAGCTGACATGTCGATTCTCACTTTGTTCCATTCAAACTCCTTCTTCATTACTACAGATATGAGCATGCTCTGTGCCCAAACTAGGTCGGCACAGCTCCTGCCAGCTTTGTAGGCAGCTTGGAACGGTCCGGTGAAGTTGTCCACAGCTCTCTCTATTCTGTTTAGCACTATCAGTGACAGGATCTTTCTAGAAACATTCAGCAGGGTCAATGGTCGTATCGACTTAACTGGGCCACGAGTTTTACCAGGCTTAGCCAGTGGTGTGAGGATGCCTGCTCCTATTGCTTCAATGTGAATGTTTTTCTCGAAAGACTCGTTGAACACTTTAGCTAGCTCTATAATAATAATAATAAATTAATGTTTAAATTTTTATACAGCACCAAAAGGTTAAATAATTTAAATTTAACCCTTATGCTCAGCTGTAAATGATACTTAAGTTAACGAGAGTGTGCATCTTTGCCTTAGGTGAAACAAGAAACTGTTCAGAAAACAGACGTTAAAAACTGTTAATAAAATCGTGACTAAATAAGGCAGATGCACCTAACAAACAGGCTTAGCAGGTTTTCTAACAGAGGACTTGAGGAAAGGATGATGACTGCAAGAAATCACAGTATGAAACTCATCAGCCTATCAAATGTAAAAATCAGGATAATAAAAATGAAATTCCCTAAAATAATAAAAATTCTATAAAAATTCTATAGAAATTCTATAGACTCCAAATATGAATAGTGAACACTGATCAGCAATAGCAGCAAATCTGGGAAAACTTTGAAATACACCACTTTGAAGCATTTGACCACCCCTTAAAAATCACAAATTATGAATTCTAGTAATCTGAATATTTACATAGGTCCAAAAATGTCATAGCTTCATGATAGTGCAACGAAATAAATCCCAGAACATTTTGGTGCTGAGTTAGGTGGTTAAGTAGTAGAAATATGACTGATTTGTTAGTGGACATTTTTTTGTACTTCTAACACTCAAACCCTTACTACACTGAAGATATGAGTGTTACAGTTAAAATTGATGGTCATTATTGAACAGAAACGGTTCATTGACACATAGTTGAAGAAAGAAATTAAAAAGGTTAATAAATGTGGTCTGTGGAGTGGTTTATATGTGTTTATGTTACAGTGTACGCGTGCGCGCGCACGCGCGTACTTAACCATCTGTAGGCCAACATATTTAGTTTATGCTGAATTTCTTTATATATTATGTCACCACTAGAGTGCCCAATACTTTTAGTGAAGGTGTAATGTAAAACGGTTAACCACCAACTGTGGTATATCAAAAAAACCCCAAAAGTGTACGCGTGCGCGCGCGCGCTTACTTAACCACCTGGATTGGCACAGCATTGAGATATCACCATAATTCCAAAAGCAGAGTACACCTTCCAGGTGCCCAAAACTTTTGGCTATGGTCCCAATACCATAAAACCTTAGATGTGGCCATAATGTGGTTAAAACATGTTGATTTTGGACCTTCGGTCAACAGAAGCCTTCACAAATTAACCATTGTTCAGCACAATCTGACCTTTTGGTGCCTTATTTTGTTTTGATATTTGATTATGAGAGATAGCTGAAGGAGAATAAGTGATTTTGAAGATAATGCAACAAAATATGTGGCCGTATGGCGGTTAAAACGACCAAAAACACTGATTTTGGTCAATTTTATACCTTTATTAACCATGATGGACGCAACACAGGACTCAGCAATCTTTCTGGTCATATAAATGAGCAGGTAGTTATATCTAGATAATGTAGCATGGCCAGCTATAGCTTTACAAAGCTAATATGTGCTCTAAAAATGGTTAATTAGTGCAAATATAGGGTATTTTCGAGACATTTTAACCACCTTAGCTGCACATTGATCGGAATGCATGAACTTGGGGTCAATTATGCATTTGCAAACAAATATACACTCATTTGGATTGCAAACCATTATCTGAAGTTCATATTGTGGTTAATTTTCACTTTAATAGATGACTTGTTCAACAGCCTAGCAAGTAATATAGCCCTTTTAACCACTTTTATGACAACATTTCTTGAAAAATTTTATCAAGACCCTTCAAATGTCCTTTGTTGACCATAAAATGTTGACTAAAATCATTAATAATGTTTTGATTGGTGGTTAACAACAAATTTTGACATTTTAACCATCTTTTTAGCACTTTTTACGAATATTAACCACCTCAAATCAACCATACTATTAAATTGCACATATTTGTGATAAAAAATTATCATCCATGCACAAATGAACAACCACCACTATACATCTATAATCAGAGCAATATTTATAGCTCACCGTTCATCTTCAATTTAACCACCATTAGGACCACAAAATGCCCCACATGAGGTTTGAAAACTTTTGTGATAGTTGCACCATGATATGATCTCAATATAATGACTACTCAGTTCATAATATCATATCTCAAAATGGTGGTTAACCCTAAAACTGGTATTTTAACCACCATAGTGGCCACATAGATGACCCATTAACCACAATTATTCAACATAACCGTACTGTAGTGTTTTGTGCACCAGAAAAACATCACTCCAACATTGAGATTAACCACAATGAGCTGCAACATAATGTTTAAGTCAACATACTCAAATTGTGTGAAAAAAGTCAATGTCCACCAAGTTTCCCCAGATTTGCTGCTATTGCTGTGATGAAAATTAGTTATAATTATTATTTATTCTTAATAGCTAGTAATTTAATCATAATGAAAGTGGACAACAACAGTCCTTGACTCATCTTCAGTCATAGTCAAACAATCTCACAGTTCTGAAGATTATCTTTATTGTGTTTTATTAAATTTGTATAATAAATTGGCTTCTTAATTACTTACTATTTAGTGCAACAAAGCCAAAAGATGTCCTCCAGATCTTTACGCAAAATAAGGGGAGATAAAGATCTAGAAGATATTAAAAACATTTTGAAAACTACATCTCTCAATGAGGAAAAAAACCTGCCCACCAAAGCTTCTCAATCTTTAAATGTTTTTGATCTTTTGAACGCTGATTGTTCATCAGATGAGGAAGCAAATGAGGACAGTCCCGATCATAGTTTAGTTGAAACACCAGTGGCAAAAAAAGCTCAACAAAAAAAAAGAAAGAAGAAAAATAAAAAGAAGCAAAAAAACGAACTCCAGAATAATGAAGCTGTTGAACAAGAAGATAACTTTGATGCAATACTGTCTGAACTGGATGCTATTTCCCCCCGAAATTTGGATTCTTCAGTAACAGGAAATATCAGCACACTTCAAAATTCACTGCAATCCACAACATTGACAGTGATTCGCAAAAATCTGAATGCTGAGAACGAACTCAGACGAATGTTTGGAAGGGAAGCTGTTGATGAGAACAGAGGGCGTGGTTCTCAATTCAAGAAGAAAAACTACATATTTGCAACACCTAAGTCTAACTGGCCACCCATGACAAAATGTGGTATACAGATGGTGGTTGCGAAGACGCAGAGTGGAATAACTTACTTCAAATATGTTCATAGCAAATCAAATTATCAGAATCTCCAACAAATATTTTGGAAGGCATCCCATTTGGCAGATCCACATGCAGTCAGGCAAGTTCTGGAAATTCATCCATATCACCTGGATACATTGCTTCATTTAAGTGAAGTATGCAGAGTCAGTGGGGATACACAGACAGCATCAGACCTGTTGAATAGAGCTCTCTTTTGTTTGGAAAAAGCCTTTCATCCCAGTTTTAATGTGACATCTGTAACATGCAGATTGGATTACAATAGAACAGAAAACAGAGCATTATTCATTGCTCTGTTCCGGCAAATACTTTTTGTGTCGTTGAAGTCTTGCTGGCAGACAGCATTTGAATTGTCTAAGTTTCTGTACAACCTGTCTCCAGAACAGGACCCTTTGGCTTGTCTATTAGTCATTGATACCCTTGCTCTAAAAGTTGAAGATTACAACTTTGTTTTGCAGTTTATTGATGAATTCAATCATTCTTTGAAGCTAACAATGCTCCCTAACTTTGCGTACTCATATTCCATTGCCCAATTTTACAAGGAAGTAGTGGATGGAGTTTCACATGAACATTCAAGTGATTTATTGCAAAAAGCAATTCTAAATTATCCTATGGTTGCCCAACTTATTTGTGAAAAATGTTCCTTTGTCATTGAATCAAACTCTCTTTTTGTGATGAATGAAAAAGTACTTAAAAGTCATACCAGGAGCCTTACTCAGCAATGTAAGCTGTATCTAGAGAGGTCTGTTGATCTATGGAAAGATACTAAGGTAGTTCATTGGTTCAAACATAATGTGGATATTGTGAACACTAATCATGCAGATATGCCAGGATATCAGGAATCCCTGCACCAGAGAAAAACCGTATTTCTTAGTCCACCCCTCAATGTTATGAGACACATTTTCATCTCTGACATCTCAGCTGTATCGGCTTTATTGCCTAATACAGCATTTGAAAGCTCGCAAGACCCCCATGATCCAATGCCACCCCCATCTAGTTACTCAGATTACCAACCTGGCACAACAAGACCTAACGCTGGCAATCCAGTAATGGCATTCATCAACTCTCTCATGCCTGGCTATGACCAAAACACTCAAAATGAACAGGAAATTGGTGGAGTAAACCTGGGTGGCTTCTTGGCTCCTGCTGGCGAGGGGAACAGAGCAGGGCAATGGGGAGAACAACTGAGAAACATTCCTGGAGATTTTGGGGTCGCCCTTAGGGATATGCTCGCTAATCTTTATATTCAAGATCAAGACAATCAGGATGCTATGCCTGAAGTTGTTGATGAAGCTCAAAATGATGATGAGATTGAGAATAGAGAGATTGTGGAGGATGATTTGGACTGAAACGTTTTTTAATTTTCAGAATTTTAGTTAAAAACCTATAATTAAGTTAAATTTATGTGCTTTGTTTGTTTTTCTGACCATGGGGAATCATTTTGGATCACATTGATTCGTTGGTTTAGCTCTAAAATGTAGATTGGTGTTATAATTGATTTGGTTCTTATCGTCATTTAGCATTAATTCTTTTATGATTAATTGAATCAAACTTCGACAATTGAAATTGAACTTTCAAATGAAAACTTCAACTTAAATTCTAAAATAAATCATGAAATCATTTGAATCATTGCAAACTTCATATATACCTTACAAGAAATTTTTGTGGCGGACCAATGTGCGACGACCGAAATTTTGGCGGTCCGAAAATATGGCGAAATTGAACAAAAACCGTCACATTTCGGACGTCACAGAAAATAAGGGTATTTTTCATCATTTTGTTTTCTGACACAAAGGAAATTCAAAATTTTCTAAAAATCGGTAAAATCATGTTGAAACAAAATGAAACTTATAAATCGATTTCTTCATCTTCCTCTAAGGGGTCCGGCTCGAATCTTTCAGTTTCACTTATTGAGTTTGGTATTAAATTGTTTATCTTGACTTAGTCTATAAGACGTTTATGTTAGCACATAAATGTAATTTATTGTAAATTTAAAACGTATAACTTGACATTAAATTCATCATGGAATATTGTGTTTATTTGTCCCACCATCATATCATAGTCTATGTAATAAGCGCCATGAGTTGGCACAGAATTTTTGGCAGTATCGAGATAGCCCGACCACTGGTCCGCGGACCACTGTCCGCGGACCACTGTCTGCGGACCACTGTCTACCAGATCATATTACTGTATAATAACAGCTCGAGGACGAGCAGGGAACCAGGGACATAGATGCATTACACCCAGGACAGGACATGGAGCTCTTTAGGAGGTTTTTCTGGAATAGGAAGTCTCTAGGGAGGCGGTGGGTCCATTAATTTCGTCCATTAGACAGAAGAGTACCATGTCAGGAATTGGAATAGTTGTTGTTGTTGATGATGGCAACTGATAATACTTCACCAAAAACGAACGACTATATACCACATTTTAATCGTAATCATTTATTTCTTTGAGCAATCAATATTATTCGTAACTAATTATATCCGAGAGACCACATTTGAATCGTAATCAATAGTTTTATCCAGTAATTTACTACGCTACAATTAATTATGCTAGTCGTAACTAATTGCATCCAAGATACCATACATACCATTCATATGATCTGGTAACCAATCAACTATTCACAAACACCTGTTGCTTGATTCAGGGGATACTGTTATTATACAGTAATATGATCTGGTAGACAGTGGTCCGCAGACAGTGGTCCGCGGACCAGTGGTCGGGCTATCTCGATACTGCCGAATTTTTTGTCTCTGATTTTGATAAATTTGGTACCAAAAGTTGCCTTTAACTGTGAATAATGAAAATTCACCGTGTAGCACGATTCGTTGAAATGTATGTGGGCCTCCTGTGCATTGCAAAAGTGTACTATGGACGAAAAATGGTTAATTTATTGCTTAAAATGCCTATAACTCCTAAAATATTGAATATTTTGAAATAATTCTTACAGAATCGTAATGAGCTTAATCAGACGCAACTTTTGGTACCAAAATTATAATATTTAAAGCACCAAATTTTTCGAAAATTTGTTCAAAATTTTACACAAGGGGGGACCCTTGTGTTCAGATTAAAAACTTTTGAAAAAAAATGCCTTTAAATCTTGAAATATTAGTACTAAAAGTTTCGTCTCGATGAGCTGATTACGATACCATAATAACTATGTGATAATAATTTAAAATGTGAAAGTTATAGGCCAAAAACTAAAAATTTGCGCGAAAAAAGCACGCGCGGCGAACAAGCGCCGTGTAGCATTTTTTCCGAAAATTGCTACACGGTGGATTTATTTTATTCACATTTTTAGACAACTTTTGGTACCAAATTTATCGAAATCGGAGAAAAAAAGTTCTGTGCTCGCGCTTGGCGCTTATTACACTGACTATCACTAACTTTTCAAGAACAAAATGAATCGATGAAGTCACAATTATTGGAATAAGCTAAAAATAATGCGACGGATTCTATTACGACGACCGAAATTTTGGCGGTCCGAAAATATGGCGAAATTTCGGGAAAACCGTCGCATTTCGTACGTTATAAAAATGTCTTGTAAGGTACTGTTTACTTCCCTGACCACATTCAGAATCTTGAATTATTAACAATAACCCTGTGTCTAGGTGTGACCACATGTAGCACCCCCAGTAGCGGTTTCTGCTGAGCAACTGTGTGAGTAACTTTACAAAGTTCAAACTGTGGCTGTATGTCGACTTTTTCTTTAATTACTATGAATAAAAGTTTTGTCATATTTTTATTGATTCTTAATTATGGTGATTTTTCACGATTAATGATAGAATGATTGCCCATTTAATTACCGTACAACTTTCAATGTTAAAAGTAAACAGCATGAGGATGATTGATCATCTACTACAGCTCTATAATATTCTGAACAATCAGTCTATGTCCAGCAGGTTGATTGGACAAAGCACCTTTACTCCGTGTAGTACATGTTTTTCTCGTGTTCACCATTCTCATACAACAGTCACTCGCCAGATCTGCCCACTTATTTTATCTGCCCACAAAAAGCCTGACCACATGCACAGTGCTCAGGCTTTTTGTCTTTTTTCTCCGTTAGGAGTTAAAATAGCGTGGCTAGTTTATTGGTGTTGCGTAGTGGAGGTGCGTTAATGAGCGGCTTTGTCACTCCTGTAATTTGAGCACTTTCCTTTGTGTTCAGAAACAAAAGGGTAAAATATGTTTATTGACGTAAACAGTGGGCGGTGTTTTAATAGATTTACTGAGCTTTAGTTCTTACCATAAAAGTCCCCGATGAAGAACCTGCTTCAGTTTTAGCTCGACGTGTTTTATCTCTCATCTCAGACCTCAGAGACGCACTGTCCCATCACCAAATCATCAATGACGATAACCAAGTCTATATCATGATTACACACCATTCACACAGTTATCAACAGGAAGGGTCCCTAAAACTGAGTCCAGCTACCACCCTCGAGATGGTTTCCAATTTCTCCTACCTGTGCTCACACATGCTGAGATAATCAATTAATCAGATGTGTCATTATTGCAATTTGATCGCTTCTGACTTGTTCCGAATTTTCGTTAAGTCGCCTCATCATTGTCTTGATTGGGGTAATTAGTCGCTTTATAAGGTATAATTAGCCCACAATCCTCGTAAATCATGAGGCACCGTTACTCGTGAGATTAGCAGCCATCTGGTTCACCTACTGTCTGTTTTCTTATCTCATCATATCTTATCTTATCTACTGGGTGAGGGAGATAACACTTTCTCATTTAATGTTCGTGTTTTTTAATTACGAGACAATTTTAAAATTGATGAACTTGTGTTTTAATTATTTGTCTCAATAGTCTGCTGTATGTTAAAATCATGTTATGTTCACTGAGCCACACCAATCTGTACATTTTACGGTAAATTGGCTTACTTTTATTTGAACCAGTTGCTTTTGAACCATCTCTCCTTTGCCAACCCGTACACTCTGGATCTACCAGAACCAACCAACTCCCGGACTCTCATGCCGGACATGCCGGACATGCCGGACACCGCACTGTTAGAGGAGTCTGAAACAGAGGATTCTAAAATAGAGGACTCACCAGCAGTGGCAACTAGTGAAGGAGATATCAGTAGCACAGTATGCAGTGGTAACGGAGAGTGTGGTAGAGACACCCTGTATCTAGAGACTCTGTATCTAGAGGTAGCGCCTCTAATTCCTTCTATCCAAACTCTAGAGAATTCTCCTCCTGTTCCCTCTCTAGTTGAGATTTGTGGAGCGTGTGATGCTGATATCGAGGAGGAGCCTAACGAGTATAGGTGAACACTCTCTAGATGATTCTAGAACCACCCTCCTGTAGCTTGCATTGCAGCTATCACGTGATTATTTAGTGCACAATATTATGCTCTCTCACTGATCCAGATGCTAGGTCATGCTTTAAACTTGTCATATATTATAACAGTTGATTGTGCAGAAGATAACGTAGTATACATTAAGCCAATCATTTTAATTATGCGAAACTCGCTGGTGTTAAGCACCGGCCAGTTTTCTAAAGCTAATGCATACTTTAACAGCATGTTGTTTTGCAGATTACCGTTCACTATTACCTTGACTTAGCTCTGAGGTGCTTCGTCATTACCCCTTATTTAGATTTTGTACTTCGTTTAACCATTACTGTCAATCACTAAACATAATAGTTTCTCTAGATGATTATTCTCGTAGGGTGTGACTCGGTTGGAATAATCGCTTCACTTCACGCGGCTACACGTTTGGTTGCGTTTTACATCTTCCAACAACTGTGACCACATTCGTTTTGGGTTGTCGGGGTTAATTATAACTGTGTTATTAATCTTGCCGTTAAATAATACATTTTGTGAAGTGGAACTGCTTTTGCCGACGGTAATTAGCTTTGAAATAGTTCCATGGTAGATGACATCACATGTTTTCTTATTTGCGTACAAATAGCTATTAATGTCCGCAGTAATTCGTTCTTGTAGTTGTATTTCTGAATTTTCGCAAATGTTTCTCTCTGATCGGTATTTGTATTGACACCAAGGCACTAAACTTGCAATTATTCCCAGAAATTATAACCTTATTATTATCAATATCAATACTTGTTTTACATGATCACTAATCCTATTATAATCGACCATATTTTGGCCTTATCACTGTGATATGCCTGCGGATGTAACGAAATGAGAGCTTCATTGACACGAATTTACTGCACTGTAGTTTTGTGAGTAAAAATGCAATGAATTTACCTGTGATATAATGCTGCTTAATGCATACTAATGAGCGAGTGCAGCATAATGAACTATTACTGATGATACAAAAACCCCCCACATAAAAGCATAATATCCTGTACAATGAACTGACTCACTGATGATGTTTCCGGATTGCTTAACCAAAATACAATGATGATAGCTTATAAATGTCGCTTATTGAATGTCACTGCTTCCCCACACCCCGACATGACAGTAGAACTGATATGATAATATATAAAACAATACACCCTTACTCCTTGCACAATGCACATGTGAGTGCCTGGTATTGTTTAGATGAAAATGTATACACTATAGCATGTGTGTGTGTGTGTGTGTGTGTGTGTGTGTGTGTGTATATAGTGTATTTATCCGCTTCACCATTGCAGTAATCCCACACAACTAAACATTATATTATGCTAAAATTACACTGTAACAACTCGGCAGCGCCTCATTACTGTTCACTTTTATCCCGGTGGTATTTCCGAGTGTATTCTGGTTAATGTGACAAGTAATGCTGTTAGCTGCTAATTGCTCACGGATTGGTGGGGCTAATTAGAGAGGTTGAAATTAACGCAGTTCTTTGTGCCTGCGTATTTAGCCAACATATTTCATTCTAGGCGGGCTTGCTTCAGTTCTTGTTCCTCGTGTTGTGGTTTTGGGCCTGTTTAGTGTTTATGAAGGCAAGATATTTGATTTTTACGTTCGCATTAAAATTCACTAAATAATAATATTTGAATAATCTCGGGTTCTAATTTACAACAAGCTTAATCCAATTGATAACCGGTAGTGCCTTGGTCTAGATAATCACATAATTTACAATTTTACTGTGTCTTATTATGCCCGCAGTTCCATTTCCACACTCATTTATTTCTCTTTTACTTGTACAAATACCACTGCTTTACGCCGCCGATTGTACAAAATAGAGGCATTGTGTTGAGTTGGGCGGCATTATGTGGGTCGTATTGGTTGATATTGAGTCGGGCTATGTAATTTTAACTATTTACTGTTGTACACTATAGTTTTCTACAAACTACAGAAAGTCGTAAGATCGACCATGTGAAATTATGCTTAGCGTAATATTGCTCCTAATAAATCAGATGATTTTGTAGCGGAGGTTTTAAATATAACGCCGGCGTGCAGCTCTCTAACATTGTACATAATACGATAATATTAAGATAATCTAAACTGGATTCTAACATTTAGCGACATGACCACCGAGAGTGGGACATAACAGTGAATGAACAGACCCGGGACACACCAACAAACATCCCCCATTCCACTCATCACCAACACGTGCTGTCACCCCAGCAACATGCCATCTTGATGTCGCCCTCCTCCGTTGACAGGTACCGCAAACACCGTCACGTGACGTCATGTGATTTTTGTGACGTCACGTAAATTTGTGACGATGCGTGATGTTGTGACGTCACGTGACGTTTCAGTTTGGTCGCTGGGATTTTTTTGATCCATTTGTTTTGCTAACTGCTGAATTTTAGCTCTTCGTTGGTTTTAGGCTGTTTGTGATGCGAGACAATTTCACTTTCATTTTCACCTGGATTTCACATATTGTTCCAGCATGGCTTTTGACTTGTCACTTGAATAATGCTTTGTCGCACTGATGTTTTTAACTTTTAGAATTAGCGTACATTTAAAAGATGATATATCTCATCAGGACTTAGCGTACTAGATCTGCTCTGCTTCCTTTTTCATTAAATTTAATTAAGACAATTAGTGCTTTAAACTAATACGTTTACATATTGTGTTTGTTGTGGCTAGATCGGCTGTTTTAATGTGAAGCATGAAGCACTAGGGTATGAAGCATAACATAATACATATAATGTTTTCTCCGTTGACTTAACATGTGCATTTTCCCAAATAACACGTGTTAACTCCTGTGTAACACGTAATTCTCTTCCAGTCAGCTGATGAATTACTGTGTCCACGAGGAGGAGCTGTTACCACACAATTGTCTTGGACAACAGGTAAAATTCCACAAATACCTCACACATTCCTCACTTGATCTCTCACATTAACCCAGTTTAGTCATCATCAATTCGATGTGATTGGTTTTAATTTTATCGTGTATGTTTTATCAATTCCAAACGTTTAGTTATTAAAAAGATTTGATCCAGTCACGAGACTAGCAACTTATCATTTATATCACCTGTTTCAGACCAAGCTTGATCAGTTGGTAGCAAAGAAAACAGCGAACACAAAACGAACATGGAAAGCAGGAGTTCCCTTCATCCTGTTCCTTATTGTGTGTTGTCTGGTCTTCATATTCTGTAGAGACCATCTTGAGGTGAGTATTTAGAAGAAACTTTGTAATCGAGATGGTTTATTATTGACGAAATTTCCCCATCCAGGGATACGTCAGTCGAAAGTATTCGTAAAAAATATGGTAACCAATCCTGGTTAGTATCATGATAACCCCCCCCCCCCCCCCCCCCCCCCCGTGATAACCATCAGTAAGTTTAGACTCAATATTACAACAAAACTATTTACAGGATTTCTTGAACTGGCTGGACGCGTTACCAAGATGGCAGAGCGGAATAATCTTCGTAGTTCTCTTCACCATCATCTCCCTGCCGGGCTCCTTCGGGTACCTCATCCTCAACATAGCGGCTGGCTACATGTACGGTTTCTGGCTGGGCATGCTCATAATCTTCATCTCCGTTACGGTCGGGTCCGTCATCGCGTTTGTCCTGATACGGAAGTGCTTACCCGGATGTATTGAACGGCTTTTATCTGACGGTGACGATGCAGCCCTCATAAACCCCATGCTCAGGATTATCGAGGGAAAGAACGGTGTTAAGGTGATCGCACTCTTTAGACTAACTCCGCTGCCCTTCGGATTCCAAAACGGTGTGTTCGCCCTCACTGATATTAGCATTTTTAAGTACACGTTCGCAACGTGCATCGGCCTCCTGCCCACTCAGGCACTGAACACTTATTTTGGAACTACCTTGCGGAGTATAAAGGATGTAGTGAGTAACGATGGTGAGAGTTACATTCTCTTTTCCTTTCAACTCCTTATAAGTCTTGTCCTGATGATATTTGTGGCGCGGCTTGCGCGCCAGGAGATCAACAAGTGCAGTGATAATACTGACAAGGGAGACTTGGAGTCGGGCGAGGGATTCAAGAAGGGACATTCCAGATCCAAATCTGCTTCTGCCATCCTCATGTCCAAGCAAAAAATAATAAATCAGCCTTCGATTTTTAAATGAAATGTTAGTTTCTAGTCATTTAGCTATCCCTACCATTGTACTGTGCAATTTGTTTTATACTTTCTATGTAATACTGATATAAATCGCATTGGCAACGTTTATATTTTTATTTAATGAGAGAGTATAAATATGGTTTAATGATAAAAGCCATAATAAATATCTTGATGCTGATACATAGTTTTTGTAAAGGTTTTGATAATGAGTTCGGAGAAAATCTAGATATAATAGATTGTTGTCGATGGATTGTGCAGTGTTGTATTTCCCAATGTAAGGGAGATCACAAATAAGCTGCGGTTTTTAAATATCATGAACATTGATATCTCAATTGAGTGGCTTGGTTAAATCAGTCCTTCGCAGGAATGTGAATCTTGCAGGAATTTGGCTCTTGCAGGAATTTGGCTCTTGTATATGATTTGCAGTTTAAAACTCTCTTAATCGTTTGTACGATGTTTCTACTTAGATAGTTGTAATATATTAGTTATATCATTATATTTCTACTGTTAACACTCTAGAGGCACGGGCTTGGACTCGCTTTTTTTGGCTAATTTTAAGTGTGTGAAATTTCCGGAACTTCCCAATAACTTGTCTTTTTCAATGATCTGTTTAATGTTTATTTTAGATCCCAATTTTTTTGAAGTAAACTTAATATAACGCGGTGATATTGTTAAAAATGATGATGAATTGTTTTCAAAGGAAGTAAATGGGGTGTTTAAGTTCGTTTATTAAACTGTCAGTTCACAGTTTTTTCAACATTATAAGTTCTCTTCTCAGGAACAGTAAAATCCTAAATTTTATTTTTTGAAGATATTTTAATACCATCAGTCTCATAAAATGTTAAAAGTGGTTTTCCATCTTATTATGAATGGAAATCGCAAATAATTACTCGAAATCGCAATTCGCAAGGATGGCAAAACTTTAAAACTCAACCCTAACCTAATGATCATGGTACACGAATAAGATCACACCACAATAACACAAATAATCGGCTGAATATATATGTTGCCAACATTGCAGTGCGTCTCTGGTGAAATTGGCAGATATATAGCAACCCAATGTGACACTACACTGTTATAATAATACACACGCTCTTGGTTATAATATGAGACATAGTGTTAATTACCAGCATATCTCTCGGTCGTGGCTAACCGGAAATGAAAATATTATGGAAAACACCGGTTTGATGATCACGTACCGAACACTTTTGAACTGTCAAGAACTTAAACACACCATTTTCCTTTTAAACTGTTGAAATTATTTCCTCATTTAATCTAATAATGATTCCAATAATATCAACAAAAACATACTTTTGGGACGACTTTACCGCATGTTATGGTAATAAAATGGAGGATTTTAAGCGATTATGATAATATGAGGAATGCAAATGGGAGCTATGTGAATTATGCTGATAAGGAATGGGAGTTATGTGAATAATGCTTATAAGGAATGGGAGTTATGTGAATTATGCTGAAGAGGAAGGGAAGTAATGTGAATTATGCTGAAGAGGAAGGGGAGTTACATGGATCACCTTACCAGATAGGACTAGGTTTTAGACAATGTATGTAAAGATGAAGATGTGTTGCACTTTTTTTAGTGCCCGACGTGAGTAGTGTTAGTGAAAGATTGAAAATGAAGTATTTTATGAAGTGAAAGTGAAATATTTTGTTAATTCGTTCACATGGCATTATCCTATCTCTTCCGTGTTTCGTGTATTCGTCGATTTGATACTTAGCAACTCCTTGTTACTTATTTTTGTATTGAACTTTGTTAAAATCTACCTCGTTTGACTGATTTCTTTATAATTTTAAAAGTTAAATGACCAAGTAGCTAATTAAAATTCGTGTTACTCAAATGAAAAATTATGGCAATTTGAATGAGTAAAGATCTCCAACTTAATTCACTTAATTATCATTAAACTTCAACTTTAAGTTAATCTATGGTAACTTACACAATATAACAGTACATAGAATCAATACATAACAAACAGCGTAGCAACTAGCCAGGGTAAACTCACATGATGATGCCTCAACAATATTACGGATTAAGTTCCATACTTTATTAATTTCCCGAGTAGCTCACTAAGTTATCATTGCCAAGTATACAGTGTTCGCATTTTCGTGATTCCGAAATCAAGATTCCTGTACGTGTGGCCAACATAACATTACATGCCAATAATTTAATATGCAATCCCGTACATGCTTCAACAATATGATTGGAGCTGCATGAATAATGTGCATATTATGTAATATTATTATAATCTCAGCTACAAAGCTAAAAACACCATTGTGAGCAGGAAGTCTAACCGCCTTAACACAAAGCCTTAACAGCAATAATTATGATAATATAATGTAAAGCTCAGTGTGTAACTAACACAACAGGCACTGAATCTAATCAATGGGTCTAGTCATTGGCTACTCAGTACACACACACCGCGTGTACAGGATACATAACATAACACTCCATTACAGGCGGTAGTGAATGTACTCATGATCTGTCTACGTCATCACGCCCGAACCTGCCCCGGTGCCCGACCTCTTCTAAAGCTTCTCCGACCAGCACGTCAGTCACGTGACAGAGCCATATTATCAGGTTCCACTCCACCACCAGTTCTACCTAACTGTAATATATCCAGGTTTTTATCTACAATCCCCGGAAAGGTATATACAGGTATCAGATTACAGCAGGCTACATTACGACATCTGCATACCACACATACCGCATTCCACGAACACCTGCCAGAACCCGAGTCCGAGGAGGAAACAGTCCGGATAAACTATATACTTCGGGACGGAACAGTCCGGACAATAGCAGGACGGACAGGAGATAACGTCATGTACCTCGCGCACAAGCACGATATTGAGATAGAGGGCGCGTGTGAAGCGAGCCTGGCGTGTTGCACGTGTCACGTGTATGTGGAGGGTGAGTACTGTGATATGTTGGAGGAGGCGAGTGAGGACGAGGAGGACATGTTGGACATGGCTCCGGAGCTCAAGGAGACCAGCAGATTGTCATGTCAGATTGTGTTGGAGAGGAAGTTGGATGGGATTACGGTGCAGATACCCAGGATTACTAGGAACTTTTATGTGGATGGTCACGTGCCTCAACCTCACTGAAATTGAGACTTTCTCGGGTTTTTAATGTTTATTTATAGATTTATTGTTTGTTTGAAGGTTTATGTTCTGTGTAGAACCTTTTGTAACTTTTTACTAGCGTAGGCCGTGCTTTATTTGAGAGCGTTTTGGTGTAAATTATACATTTGATGTAATGTTTCAGTGACCCCCTAATTTATTAAACAGTGCAGCTTATAATACACATTGTAAACCATTTTATTTCACATTCATATTATCACTCTTGTTTCACTAGTAGGAACTACAATATCAAATAAATTATAAAAATGTCAAAACTGAAAATTCGATCCCTTAGTTCCCTTAATCTAGATAAAGATGATAGCCTCGCACAAAACAAAGTACAGTGCAGACAGCATTGAGACAAAACCAGGTGACCAAACCAAGTTTGCTTGCGCAACATACCAACTAGACTCTAGCGGAACAGAAAGACACGGTAACGTCTCCATTCTAGACTTCCAGGAGAAGTCTGTTAAAGTATCGTCAGTCCTAGAAACGGGAGGAGTATTGGATCTGTGGTGGAGAGATGAGGGATGTTTGTTGGCAGCATGCGCTTCAGGCGAGTTGCACATGATTGATGTTGATAAGGACTGTGCGTTAAGTGTGCACAATGTTGCTAAGGTGTCAAGTGATATTTTACTGGCTGTTGACGGGAGTTCTAATACTGTTGTCACCAGTGATACTGCTGGAATCATCTACTCAATAAACCCAGATAGTTTGGAAATTTCAGTGAAGATAGAGGCAGCACATGGTGCGCAGGGTTGGGGCGCTGAAGTATGGGGTTTAGCGCTTGACAGGCACGATGTAAACCTGGTTTACAGTGGGGGAGACGACTGTTTGTTGAAGTGCCATGACCTGCGCACCCCTCACACTGTCTCCACCTCACGATACCACACCATGGGGGTGTGCTGCATATCCCCTGATCCTGTATCTCCTAACCGGATATTATCCGGAAGTTATGATGAGTTGGTCGTTGAGTGGGATACCAGGAACTTTAAACAACCCCTCAGAACTGTCAGTGTAGGTGGTGGTGTGTGGCGCATCAAGCGCAGTCCTGACAATATGCATGCGCTTATAGCAGGCATGCACAGTGGGTTTCATATCGCGGACTTGACAGAGTTTGCTGTAGCACAGACCTACACAGGACACACATCCCTTGCGTATGGGGCAGATTGGTTAGACCAGGGGTTTGTTGCTACCTGCTCATTTTATGATAATTTGGTTAACGTTTGGCACAGCGGTGTCTAGTTGGAGCACCCCTTATTAATTATTTGCGGAGTATCGTGTGACCAATTTTGGTATTTGTTAAGTTAATTGCTTTTACAGAGATGTACCTGAAGTTTAATTGCTAATTTATTGTTTTAAAAATAAAGTTATTGGGTTCTGACAGTTTTTATTTTGTCTTTCACTCCTTAAAATACGAATGGAGATTAAAATTCGCTAAACTTAGATATATGACTGTGGGATATTTAAATGTAAAGTATAGTCAGAATCATATGAATCATATTCCATCCAAAGGAATATGATTCAACTCTTTATTTTGATAAGTAAGTTTACTCTTTTAAATACTAGTATTTGGTGTAATTCTAACTTTTTGAATCTGTTCACAGGAAATATTTCCATGTCAAATCGGGACACAAGATCACAATCTGTAAAAGATGAAGTGAAGACTGAGATTCTGGACCATGTTATCAAGAAGGAGATAAAGACTGAGCTACAGGAAGTCAACGGGAAGTCACATGGTTTTATTTGTCCCACATGTAAAGCTCATTTCCTTTACGATGAGTTCTTTATTGAACATATTAAAGAACATCATGAGGATGTGGCTAGTAAAAGGATAAATTCTAATGAGCTATTGAGTTCTTCTGGAATATCAGAAAAAGATAACAATTCAAAGAATACCCTGCATAGAAGTGAACCTTTTAAATGTGATGTTTGTTCCTTTTCTTGCTCCTACGAATCTCATCTTCTGAGACATCGGAGAATTCATACTAATGAAAAGCCATTCAAATGTGAACAGTGCTCATCTGCTTATTCTCGAAAATGTAATCTAATCCGACATCAGCGAATTCACACAGGGTACAATCCCTACAAATGCAGCGATTGTAAATATACAAGCTCTTCTAAATCAAATCTAGTCTTACATCAGCGAATCCACACCGGTGAGAAACCCTACAAGTGCGATGAATGCTCATTTGCTTTCACTCAAAAAGGTAGTCTAGTTAACCATCAGAAAATTCACACAGGTGAGAAACCCTACAAGTGTACAGAATGTTCATATGCTTCTTCTATAAAATGTAATCTAGTCCAACATCAGAAAGTTCACACTAATGAAAGACCATTCAAGTGTGAACAGTGTTCATATGCTTCTTCTCGTAAACGCCTTCTAGTTTTACATCAGCGAATTCACACTGGTGAGAAATCCTACAAGTGTACCGTAATCTGGGGTAACTTTGGCCGGTGGGGTAACATTGGTCCAGCATTGAATTCCAAGTTTGGGTGTAAACTGTGTGCAGTATAATCAAGTTACATTGTTATCATTGGTTTAAATGATTTGTTTACTCTCTTCTACTCACTTCCTAGTGTTATCCTTCCATTTAGTGTACACTGGTACGACTGTAGATCATTATGATTCACCCTTCCTTCGTTTCATCCAAATTGTGTGTTGTCAAAATGGGTCACTTATTTCATTTCCTGATGTTCTTGCTATTGTTTTGTATTGTTCTATTGATAATTGATTGTTTAAATTGTTTAACTAGCCCAAATTCAGTCGACTGATGTTAAGGCAATTACTGTTAATTGGGGTGGCCAATGTTACCCCTGGAAAATTTGAACTTTGGGGCAACTTTGGCCAGGCCAAATTTGCCCCATGGGGTAAATTTGGCCATGCCAATGTTGCCCGAAAATAACTTTTTTCTGATTTAATTTCTCTTAGAAATGGTTAGAACCTACCAGAGTAAGAAACCCGGTTCAAGAGGCTATGTTACCTACTCTGAGGAGACCCTAGAGAAATGCTTGGAAGCTGTCAGGTCTGGCAAGCTCTCACAAAGAAAAGCAGCTCAACAGTTCAACATAGCGAGGAGCACCATTCAGAACAAAGTCAAAGGAACGCACAGCAGACCAATCGGGCGGGGCTGTGTCTTCTCTGAAGAAGAGGAGAAGCTGTTCACGGCTCGAATCATAACCATGTGTGATTGGGGCTTCCCTATTGGTTTTATGGACCTTAGGATGCTCATATCGTCTTATTTGAAGAAGCAAAGGAGAGTGGAGATTCGATTCAAAGAAAATGTGCCAGGAGATGACTGGGTAAGAGGCTTTATAAAACGAAATAAGCTAGCAAACCGTTTAGCCTCGAACATAAAAAGAAGTAGAGCCCAAATATCAAAGGAAGCTCTTGAACGGTATTTCAACCATCTTAAAAATGAGCTGGAAGGTGTCCCTGCATCAAACATTTGGAACTACGATGAGACAAACCTGACGGACGATCCTGGTAAGAAAAAATTCATCATGAGAAGGGGGACAAAATATCCTGAGAGGGTTATGAACCACAGTAAAGTGGGAATTTCGATTATGTTCTGTGGTAATGCTGATGGGCAGATGCTTGACCCATACACTGTTTATAAGGCAAAGAATATGTATCCAGCCTGGATGCAGGGTGGCCCTCCAAATGCCCGCTATGGTTACTCTGATTCGGGTTGGTTCGAAGAACGCTCATTCGAGGACTGGTTTTTCTCGCTCGCGCTACCCAGACTAAGGAGGCTTGATGGCAAGAAAGTCCTTATCGGCGACAATTTGAGTTCCCATCTCAGTGTAAAGGTAATTGAGGCCTGCAAAGCAAATGACATTTCGTTTATATGTCTTTACCCTAATGGCACCCACCTTCTTCAGCCACTTGATGTGTCTTACTTTGCACCACTGAAGAAAGCCTGGAAGCATGTTCTTGGTAAATGGAAACTTACTCCCGAGGGGAGACAGCAGGGAACACTTAATAAGAAGCAATACCCTCGACTGCTTGCTAAGCTGATTGCAATTCTAGCTTCTGAGAATGGTCCCGAAAATCTCAAGAGTGGTTTCAGGAAATGTGGTCTTGTACCTTTTGAGCCTGAACAAGTTTACAAGAGCTTGCCCTCTACTGCTTCCAATGAACTTGAACCAACTGAAGCCCTCGACTCATCCCTTCTTGAAGCACTGAAAGAGCTGAGGGGTAATAATGCAGAGCTTCCTAAGACGAAAAAAGTGTCCAAGAAGAACAGACTTCATCTGAGTCCAGGTAGGTCAGTCAGTTTGGTAGAGATACCTGTCGCCACTTCCACCCCACAGCCCATTCCTTCTGGTGTTGATTCTCCAAAATCATCGAAGGAACCAAAATCAAAGACAAAGAAAACCAGAGGGAGAAAGAAGAATACTGTTTTGAACACAGTCCCTGACTTCGCCACTTCCACCCCACAGCCCATCCCTTCTGGTGCTGATTCTCCAAAATCATCGAAGGACACAAAATCAAAGACAAAGAAAACCAGAGGGAGAAAAAAGAAGGACACTGTTAAGAACACAGTCCCTGACTCTAACCTTGTGAATCACAAAAGTCAGGACTATGTGATTGTGGAATATGAAGGCTCATCATTTCCTGGTCAGATTATCAGTGTTGATGACAATGATGGGGCAGTTGTTTACAGAGTAAGCTGCATGCAAAAGTATGCAGGCGGAAAAGGCTGGGTTTGGCCAGAAATTGCAGACATAGAGGAGTATCAGGAGGTTAAATCAACCATGAGCCTTTGGTGATAAGCACCCGGAACACAGGTCGATTCAGAGTCCCCGAACTTGAATCGATCTGGGATAGGCATCTGTAATCGTCAGATATATTCTATGTTCAATGCTAAAAATCATTTTATGATAACTGTCTATTTATTTGTTACTTTGGATCGCTTATTTTGATGCATTTATCAACAAATAAACGTGTTATGGGGGTAACTTTGGCCGGCCAAAGTTGCACCAGATACATGAGGCCAAAGTTGCCCCTTGCGTGGGTAACTTTGGGCCAGTGATAATTAGTCTGTAATTAGTCATTAATAAATGAGTTACATGATTTTAAATTGATTAATCCTGTAGTACACATATCAGGGAATGATAAAAACATAACAGTCATCAATTTCAACCAGTCATCTCTGAAAAATTTGAAGTGCCAAAAAAAATTGGCACAAAGTTACCCCAAATTACGGTACAGAATGTTCATATGCTTCTTCTCTAAAATGTAATCTAGTCCAACATCAGAAAGTTCACACTAATGAAAGACCATTCAAGTGTGAACAGTGCTCATATGCTTGTTCTCTGAAAGGTAATCTAGTGAAACATCAGCGAATTCACACAGGTGTGAAACCCTACAAGTGTGGAGAATGTTCATATGCTTCTTCTCTAAAATGTAATCTAGTCCAACATCAGAAAGTTCACACTAATGAAAGACCATTCAAGTGTGAACAGTGCTCATTTGCTAGTTCTCAAAAAGGTAATCTAGTCCAACATCATCGAATTCACACAGGTGTGAAGCCTTACAAACGCAGTGACTTGAATACGACAGCCCTTCTAAATCAAATCTTATAAAACACCAACGAATTCATAATGAGAAGAAACGTTAGAAAAGAAGATCAGTTTTAAGTGAAGTCTCACTATTGTTTTTTAGATTATTGATGCTCTTGCTTGCAAATCTTGTTGAACACCCCAATTTTGAGAGATTTATTTTAGAGTCTCGACAGACATTGAACAGTAATTGTTACCACCTGTTGTTAAGACACACGATTATTGTGTGGAAATTGTGTTCTGTAAACTATGCCTTTTAATTCAGATGTACTGCAGGAACATACACTGCTTGGGCCCTATGCAGGGGGACGTAACATTTACAGCCGGTAACATTAAAGGACCAGTTAACTGAAAAATTTGTAGTCTCCAATTTGGCTAAGATTTAAATCAGCTGTGACAAACTGGTAAAGAATCGTATCGCCGAAAGAACCAACTCTCTAGCGTACGTGTAACGCGTGTTATTGCAATAATAAGCTGTGGCCGCGTTACGTCATAAAGTCCCTCAGTGCGCGCTTGCATAGCGTAATACAATGCACAAATGTTTATCATCGTCAATAAAACACGTGTAACTCACTCAAATTTTAGAGTTATGACTATTTCCCTAGTTCTACAAAATCCTTATAGTTTTGGCTATCACCCTAACTATATGAATAGCTGATTGGATGTACAGTGCTCACGTCAGGATTTTAAACAGTGACATAAGTTCTTGAACAGTGGCGGGTGAATGTACGGTTAGAAAGTTTCTGCTATTACAAGTTATGTCATATGTGATAATTTTGGATTGTTTTCATTGCTTCATTACAAACGAAGGGAGACTGTACCGATTATTTTTCCCCAGTACATGAAACTAATACACAAAATAATGTGCTATATATTAAATATAGCTGATCAGAGTGTAACTCTGTAATATAATATTACAGTTGTTCGGAAGAATGCGAGCAGTCGAATGGTTCGCTGTAAAAGACATAGTTCCGAGAGCAATTATATTTTTAGCATAGCGAAATTTCTAACTTTAATCCACACGTGCCAGACAGTACAGGAGACAAGAAGTCTGGCTATTTTACGGCCGTTCCCATGGGACCATTAGTAGAAGTAGCTCCTATCAGAACGGTGCCGTGGGAACCGAAAAATACCCGGTCTACTAAATACTGATTGGAGTGTACAGTGTGCGGAGTGTTTTGAATTTGACTTACCTAGTTATCGTCCTACTTGTATGATCATAAAATTAAATACCAATTAGTGCAAACGTGTTCAGTCAATCGACCCACTGAACAACTATAGAATTTCCAAGACCCTATTATTCTTTGGCCATATATATTACGGCACGATCGATTCTTAGATGGCTAAACGACAAACGTTAATCTATACAATTCTTAAACTATGAGATAGCACTTTAATTTAAAAATACACTTTTTATATTACTCCTGATTTTTACATTTAAATTTTCACGTAAAACATTGTAGCCATAGGTTGATCATGGACACTGACAGCTTAATTTTAGATAATAATGATTTATGAGTTTCTCTAAAGTTAACTCTAAACTTGTGTAGTCCAGTCATTTATGGACATTTATGGAATTGAACCTGCAAATTTTCGTATACTCACGAAATTTTGCAAAGACCTTCCCAAAAGTATGAATAAAGGATTTTCGGTTGGAGACATATTGACCACGCCGATATTGACCCAATAACGTAACCGACCCTTTGCTTCTGAAGGTCGTGGAGACTTCAAAATAGGCTTAAACGAAGCCGCATATGCAAGTTTATATAGGAGTTATTGAGCAACACATGGCCTAAAATCCTTACTTTTCGAGAAATTCGCCAAAAACCATTTTGGGCGTGGTGCTGAGCCCATTTTCGATAGGATCGTGATAGAGTCTTTAGACAGGGTGCAAAAGAACCGCAATTAGCATATTAATATATGACTTACGAAGAAACAGATGCCTTAAAGTGCATACTTTTTCAGTTATTGGCGAAAAACTGATTTCCGGTTCCAGAAATCATGCAAAAATATGGGTATCTCGTAAATTGGGCTATGAAGGCCAAACAGATTTTTGAATGAGTGCAAATTGTGCAGAATGGCCATGTTTATATACAACTTATGAAGCAACATGTACCCTAAAACACTTACTTTTCGAGTTATTTGGGGGAGAAACATTGTATTATGTCCATTTTTACCTGTAAAATACAGTCTCACGAGCTGCTCTGTGCGCGCAAGGGACTTTATGACGTCATCGCCAAAATAATACAAACGCTAATTACACGCGTTAGAGAGCAGTTAGAGATTTAGGAATTTCGACTCGTTGCTCAGTTTGCTATTTGTCACAATCTGTCAAAATATGAGGATAACTTTTTTTTCAGTTAACTGGTCCTTTAACAGCCGGTAATGTTTATATTAGACGATGTGGCGTTACTTTTTAAAGTTTTTATTAATGCTTGTATGTTTCATAATTTATTGCAAAGTAAAGATATTATTTTGTAATCTTAAGATGAATTTATACAAATTATCGATTTTTAGATTAAATAGTCTTTAGAACCGTGATTTTGTCCTGCAGAGGGTTTCCCTGCCCCCTTCGAAATAGCTTAATAAAATATTTTTGGATTATGAAACCATCCAAAGGTATATGATTTAAGTCTTTAATGTGATAAGAAAAGTTGTTACTGTTTTAAATACTCGTTTAATTACTTGTATTTAATGTAATTCTAACTTCTTGAATCTGATTTCAGGAAAGATTTCCATGTCAAATCGGGAGATTTATTGAACATATCGCTGCTCATATTACCAAACATTGTATGTCAAAATTTAAATTTATACATATTATCATGAATCTAAGTTCAATTCCACACATACGAGTAAGTACAGTTTCAAAGCAAAATTCAGCAACATCATTTTTTAAACAAACATATTATGTGCCTTCACAGTCATTCTGTGATATGTAGCATCCTTTTGTTGTTTAAATGGATGATGTAGACTCTAGAACATGGTGAGACTTTCCATTGGTAATATGCTTAAAGTATTTCCATTAAATTATTGTTTAAATCAGCACGTCCTCGTGATCGTAGTAATAGACATTTCATGCTCGTTGTGTGAGCTATTGTCTGCAGTACTCTCATTGGGGCATGTGATCTCAAGCCTGCTTTCCTGCCACATTTGCCTCGACTGTCTTATGATGTAAATGACTTATAATTTCATGGTCATACAGCTCATATAATATAATACTGACTTTGTTATTTTGAAGCTTAAGTCCATGGCTGACCGTGACAAAATGGGAAGAAATCATAGCTGTGATACTGATGAGAAGGTTTGTTTATCATTGCTAGCGCTATAATTTTATAATAAAGTTTGGTAAAATATGACAGTTGAATTATTTTAGAGGCTTAGTAGGTAAATGTTGCAATATCTAGACCATCTAGAGAGTTATTAATTAGTTTGTACCTAAAAATAATAACGACATGGACCCCCAAAATTATTGTGCACATTTTCTTAAACAAAATTATTTTGCACGTTTTTCTTAAACATGACGCTCTCTAGTAGTATACCTTGTTTTACACATTATAGTTCTAGTGAATAGATTTTCACTCCGCAGGATTTGGGTTTGACAGTTGGGCAGCAGGTGACTGCTAATCCTTTTCGGGATAAGATAGAGTACCAAGCAACCATCCTACGCTGCGTTAAGGTATGCACAATAATAATAATATTAAGTACTTTTTGTGAGACTTTTTGTGAGACCATTTTATTCCACTTGTTGTCCAGGCGACTGGCTTGAAACCTAACCAATTTTTAATGACAATATTCATAATAAGATAGTGCAAATTATTTACACTTATTTCAGAGGGGCATCTTTGAACTACAGTTCGATGATGTTTGCTGCAACGTGTCTAGAAAATATATAAAGCTGATAACAGGTGAGATATGTATACTATCGGCTAGGCCTCCTTTTAAAATAAAAATTGGGTAAATGAGTTAACAATTTTGCGATCGTTGAATTAAAAGTAAAACGTGTTATTATCAGTTTAGACCTTTAAACCTTTAGACATTTATTGACAAATAACTGTAAATGTAATATAGTTTTTAAGTTTATGTATGAATTGTTTCCAAATTTCAAGAAACATATGCATTTCAGATCAAACGACAGACGAGACCGGATCTGTAATGGATGGTCCAGCTGAAGACAAGACCAGATCTTTAATGGATGGTCCAGCTAAAGACGAGACTGGATCTGTAATGGATGGTCCAGCTGAAGACGAGACTGGATCTGTAATGTGTGGTCCAGCTGAAGACGAGACTGGATCTGTAATCGATGGTCCAGCTAAAGACGAGACCGGATCTGTAATGAATGGTCCTGCTGAAGACGAGACCGGATCTGTAATGTGTGGTCCAGCTGAAGACGAGACTGGATCTGTAATCGATGGTCCAGCTGAAGACGAGACCGGATCTGTAATGAATGGTCCTGCTGAAGACGAGACCGGATCTGTAGTGGATGGTCCAGCTGAAGACGAGACCGTATCTGTAATGGATGGTCCGGCTGAAGACAAGACCGGATCTGTAATAAATGGTCCTGCTGAAGACGAGACCGGATCTGTAATGGATGGTCCTGCTGAAGACGAGACCGTATCTGGAATGGGTGGTCGAGCTGAAGACGAAACCGGATCTGTAATGGATGCTCCGGCTGAAGGCAAGACCGGATCTGTAATCGATGGTCCAGCTGAAGATAAGACCAGATCTGTAATAAATTGTCCTGCTGAAGACAAGACCGGATCTGTAATGAATGGTCCTGCTGAAGACGAGACCGGATCTGTAATGGATGGTCCTGCTGAAGACGAGACCGTATCTGTAATGGGTGGTCGAGCTGAAGACGAAATCGGATCTGTAATGGATGGTCCGGCTGAAGGCGTGACCGGATCTGTAATAAATGGTCCAGCTAAAGACGAGACCGGATCTGTAATGGGTGGTCCAGCTGAAGACAAGACCGGACCTCGAGAAAACGACAATAAAGCTAATAAGCAAATGAGTTATTCTGGAATTTTAGAGAAAGAGAACAATTCAAAAAAAAACCCATATGAAGGTAAACCATTTGAATGTAATGTTTGTTCCTTCTCTTCCTCCTCCGAACCTCTTCTTCAGAAACATCTTCTGAAACATCTTCTGAAACATCAGAGAGTTCATACTAAAGAAAAACCTTTCGAGTGTGAACAGTGCTCATATGCTTGTTCTTATAAACATCATCTAGTTTTACATCAGCGTATTCACACTGGTGAGAAGCCCCACAAGTGCAATGAATGCTCATATGCTTGTGCTCAAAAAAGTGGTCTAGTCCAACATCAGAAAATTCACACTGGTGAAAGACCATTCAAGTGTGAACATTGCTCATATGCTTCTACTCAGAAAGGCACTCTAGACTTACATCAACGAATTCACACTGGTGAGAAACCATACAAGTGTGAGGAATGCTTGTTTGCTTTTACTCATAAAGGTAGTCTAGATAGACATCAGCGGATTCACACAGGGGAGAAACCCTACAAGTGTACAGAATGCTCATATGCTTCTTCTATAAAAGGAAATCTAGTCGTACATCAGAAAGTTCACAGTAATGAAAGACCATTCAAGTGTGAACAGTGCTCATATGCTTCTTCTCATAAACGCCTTCTAGTTTTACATCAGCGAATTCACACTCGTGAGAAATCCTACAAGTGTGAACATTGTGCACATGCTTTTGCTCTAAAATGTGATTTAGTGAAACATCGGCTAATTCACACTAGTGAGAAACTGTACAAGTGTACAGAATGCTCAAATGCTTTTTCTTATAAACATCATCTAACCAATCATCAGAAAATTCACACAGGTGAGAGACCCTTCAAGTGCAAGGAATGCTCATATGGTTGTATTAAAAAACATGATCTTATCATACATCAACGAATTCACACTGGTGAGAAACCCTACAAGTGCGAGGGATGCTCATATGCTTGTTCTCGAAAATCTAATCTAATCCAACATCAGCGAATTCACACAGGGGACAATCCCTACAAATGCAGCGATTGTAAATACACAAGTTCTTCTGAATCAAATCTTATGCATCATCAACGAATTCACACCGGAGAGGAATTCTACAAGTGCGAGGAATGCTCATATGCTTGTTCACAAAAATGTGATCTAGTGAAACATCAGCGAATTCACACCGGTGTGAAACCCTACAAGTGCGAGGAATGCTCATATGCTTGTGCTCAAAAAAGTAATCTTATCCGACATCAGCGAATTCACAAAAGTGTGAACTGTGAAACCCTACAAACGCAGCGACTTTGAATACGCCAGCCCTTCTAAATCAAATCTTTTAAAACACCAACGAATTCATAATGAAAAGAAACGTTAGAAAAGAAGATCAGTTAAGTGCAGCAATAGCAGCAAATCTGGGGAAACTTGGTGGACATTGACTTTTTTCACAAAATTTGTGTATGTTGACTTCAACATGATATTGCAGCTTATTGTGGTTAATCTCAATGTTGGAGTGATGTTTTTCTGGTGCGCAAAACACTGCAGTACAGTTATGTTGAATAATTGAGGTTAATGAATCCTCTATGTGGCCACTATGGTGGTTTAAATACCAGTTTTAGGGTTAACCACCATTTTGAGATATGATATTATGAAATGAGTAGTCATTATATTGAGATCATCCCATGGTGCAACTATTACAAAAGTTTAAAACTCTTATTGGGGGCATTTTGTGGTCCTAATGGTGGTTAAATGGAAGATGAACGATGAGCAATAAATATTGCTCTGGTTATAGATGTATAGTGGTGGTTGTTCATTTGTACATGGATGATAATTTTTCATCACAAATGTGCAATTTAATAGTATGGTTAATTTTAGGTGGTTAATATTCGTAAAAAATGCTAAAAAGATGGTTAAAACGTCAAAATATTTTGTTAACCACCAATCAAAACAATATTAATGCTTTTAGTCAACTGTTTCTGGTCAACAAAGGATATTTGAAGGGTTTTGATAACAGTTATCAAGAAATGTTGTCATTAAAGTGGTTAAAAGGGCTATATGACTTGCTAGGCTGTTGAACAAGGCATCTATTAAAGTGAAAATTAACCACAATATGAAGTTCGGATAATGGTTTGCTATCCAATTGAGTGTATAATTGTTTGCAAATCCATAATTGACCCCAAGTTCATGCATTATGATCAATGTGCAGCTATGGTGGTTAAAATGTCTCGAAAATACCCTATATTTGCTCTAATTAACCATTTTTAGAGCACATATTAGCTTTGTAAAGCTATAGCTGGCCATGCTGCATTATCTAGATATAACTACCAGCTCATCTATGTGCACAAAAACATTGCTGAGTCCTTTGTTGCGTCCAGCATGGTTAATAAAGGTCTAAAATTGACCTAAATCAGTGTTTTTGGTCGTTTTAAACCGCCATACGGCCACACATTCTGTTGCATTATCTTTAAAATCACTTATTATCCTTCAGCTATCTCTCATAATCAAATATCAAAACAAAATAAGGCACAAAAAGTTTGGAGGTTGCTGAATAATGGTTAATTAGTGATGGCTTCTGTTGACCGAAAGTCCAAAATAAACATGTTTTAACCACATTGAGGCCACATCTAAGGTTTTATGGTATTGGGACCATAGCCAAAAGTTTTGGGCACCTGGATGGTGTCCTCTGCCTCTGAAATTATAGTGATATTTCAATGCTGTGCCATACCAGGTGGTTAAGTACGCGCAAGCGCTCTCGCACGCGTACAAACATGGTTTTTTTGATATACCACAGTTGGTGGTTAACTGTTCTACATCAGACCTTCACTAAAAGTATTGGGCACCATAGTGGTGACATAATATATAAAGAATTTAAGCATAGACTAAATATGTTGGCCTACAGATGGTTAAGTACGCGCAAGCGCGCGCGCACGCGTACACTATAACATAAACAAATAAACCACTCCACAGACCACATTTATTAATTTTTTTATTTCCTTCTTCAACTATGTGTCAATGAACCATTTTTGTTTAATAATGACCATCAATTTTAACTGTACTACTCATATCTTCACTGTAGTAAGGGTTTGGGTGTAAGAAGTATAAAAAATGTCCACTAACAAATCAGTCATTTTTCGACTACTTAACCACCTAACTCAGCACCAAAATGTTCTGAGATTTTTTTCGTTGCACTATCATAAAGCTATGACATTTTTGAACCTATGTAAATATTCAGATTACTAGAATTCATATTCTGTGATTTTTAAGGGGTGGTTAAATGCTTCAAAGTGGTGTATTTCAAAGTTTCCCCAGATTTGCTGCTATTGCTGAGAGTTGTCTCACTATTGTTTTTTAGATTATTGATGCTCTTGCTTGCAAATCTTGTTCTCCCCAAATTTGAGACATTTATTCTAGAGTCTTGACAGACATTGAACACTAATTGTTACCACCTGTTGTTAAGACACACGATTTAAACTGTGTGGAAATTGTGTTCTGTAAACTATGCCTTTTAATTCAGATGTACTGCAGGAACATACACTGCTTGGGCCCTATGCAGGAGGACGTAACATTAACAGCCGGTAACATTAACAGCCGGTAATGGTTATATTAGACAATGTGGCGTTACTTTTTAAAGTTTTTATTAATGCTTGTATGTTTCATAATTTATTGCAAAGTAAAGATATTATTTTGTAATCTTGAGATGAATTTATACAAATTATCGATTTTTAGATTTAGTCTTTAGAACCGTGATTTTGTCCTGCAGAGCTAGAGGGTTTCCCTGACCCCTTCGAAATAGCTTAATAAAATATTTTTGGATTATGAAACCATCCAAAGGTATATGATTTAAGTGTTTAATGTGATAAGAAAAGTTGTTACTGTTTTAAATACTCGTATAATTACTAATTGTATTTAATGTAATTCTAACTTCTTGAATCTGATCACAGGAAAGATTTCCATGTCAAATCGGGAGATTTATTGAACATATCGCTGCTCACATTACCAAACATTGTATGTCAAAATTTAAATTTTTACATATTATCATGAATCTACGCTCAATTCCACACATACAAGTAAGTGCAGTTTCAAAGCAAAATTCAACAACATCATTTTTTAAACAAACATATTATGTGCCTTCACAGTCATTCTGTGATATGTAGCATCCTTTTGTTGTTTAATTATGGATGAAGTAGACTCTAGAACATGGTGAGACTTTCCATTGGTAATGCTTAAAGTATTTCCATTAAATTATTGTTTAAATCAGCACGCACGTCCTGATCCTCGTGATCGTAGTAATAGACATTTCATGCTCGCTGTATGTGCTGTTGTTTACAGAACTCTGATTGGGGCATGTGATATTAAGCCTGCTTTCATGCCACATTTGCCTCGACTGTCTTATGATGTAAATGACTTGTAATTTCATGGTTATACAGCTCATATACTGACTTTATTATTTTGAAGCTTAAGTCCATGGCTGACGGTGACAAAATGGGAAGAAATCATGGCTGTGATACTGATGAGAAGGTTTGTTTATCATTGCTAGAGCTATAATTTTATAATAAAGTTTGGTAAAATATGACAGTTAAATTATTTTAGAGGCTTAGTAGGTAAATGTTGCAATATCTAGACCATCTAGAGAGTTATTAATTAGTTTGTACCTAAAAATAATAACGACATGGACCCCCAAAATTATTGTGCACATTTTCTTGAATAAAATTATTTTGCACGTTTTTCTTAAACATGACGCTCTCTAGTAGTATACCTTGTTTTATACATTATAGTTCTAGTGAATAGATTTTCACTCCGCAGGATTTGGGTTTGACAGTTGGGCAGCAGGTGACTGCTAATCCTTTTCGGGATAAGATAGAGTACCAAGCAACCATCCTACGCTGCGTTAAGGTATGCACAATAATAATAATATTAAGTACTTTTGGTTTAAAGCAGTGTGAGACCATTTTATTCCACTTGTTGTCCAGGCGACTGGCTTGAAACCTAATCAATTTTTAATGACAATATTAATAATAAGATAGTGAAAATTATTTACACTTATTTCAGAGGGGGATCTTTGAACTACAGTTCGATGAAGTTTGCTGCAACGTGTCTAGAAAATATATAAAGCTGATAACAGGTGGGATATTTATGCTATCGGCTAGGCCTCCTTTAAAAATAAATATTGGGTAAATAAGTCAACAATTTTGCGATCGTTGAATTAAAGTAAAACGTGTTATTATCACTTTGGACAGTTATTGCCAAATAACTGTAAAATATAGTTTTTAAGTTTATGTATGAATTGTTTCCGAATTTCAAGAAACATGTGCATTTCAGATCAAATAGCAGACGAGACCAGATCTGTAATGTGTGGTCAAGCTAAAGACGAGACCGGATCTGTAATGAATGGTCTAGTTGAAGACGAGACCGATTCTGTAATGGGTGGTCCAGCTGATGACGAGACCAGATTTGTAATGGGTGGTGCAGCTGAAGACACTACCGATTCTGTAATGGATGGTCCAGCTGAAGATAAGACAGGATCTGTAATGGATGGTTCAGCTGAAGACAAGATCGGATCTGTGATAGGTGGTCCAGCTGAAGACGAGACCGATTCTGTAATAGGTGGTCCAGCTGAAGACGAGACCGGATCTGTTATGGATGGTTCAGCTGAAGACAAGATCGGATCTGTAATAGGTGGTCCAGCTGAAGACAAGATCGGATCTGTAATGGATGGTTCAGCTGAAGACAAGATCGGATCTGTAATAGGTGGTCCAGCTGAAGACAAGATCGGATCTGTGATAGGTGGTCCAGCTGAAGACGAGACCGATTCTGTAATGGATGGTCCAGCTGAAGACAAGACAGGATCTGTAATGGATGGTTCAGCTGAAGACAAGATCGGATCTGTAATAGGTGGTCCAGCTGAAGACAAGACCGATTCTGTAATGGATGGTCCAGCTGAAGACAAGACCGGATCTGTAATAGGTGGTCCAGCTGAAGACGAGACCGATTCTGTAATGGGTGGTCTAGCTAAAGACGAGACCGGATTTGTAATGGGTGGTCCAGCTAAAGACGAGACCGGATTTGTAATGGGTGGTCTACCTGAAGACGAGACCGGATTTGTAATGGGTGGTCCAACTGAAGACAAGACCGTTTCTGTAATGGATGGTCCAGCTGAAGACAAGACCGGATCTGTAATGGGTGGTCTAGCTGAAGATAAGACTGGATCTGTAATGGGCGGTCCAGCTGAAGACAAGACCGGATCTCGAAAAAACGACAATAAAGCTAATAAGCTTATGAGTTTTTCTGGAATTTTAGAGAAAGAGAAGAATTCAAAGAATACCCCCTATGAACGTAAACCATTTGAATGTAATATTTGTTCCTTTTCTTCCTCCTCCGAACCTCTTCTTCAGAAACATCTTCTGGAACATCTTCTGAAACATCAGAGAATTCATACTAAAGAAAAATCTTTCGAGTGTGAACAGTGCTCATACGCTTGTTCTAATAAACATCATCTAGTTTTACATCAGCGAATTCACACTGGTGAGAAGCCCCACAAGTGCAAGGAATGCTCATATGCTTGTGCTCAAAAAAGTAGTCTAGTCGAACATCAGAGAGTTCACACTGGTGAAAGACCATTCAAGTGTGAACATTGCTCATATGCTTCTTCTCAGAAAGGCACTCTAGACTTACATCAACGAATTCACACTGGTGAGAAACCATACAAGTGCGAGGAATGCTCATTTGCTTTCACTCAAAAAGGTAGTTTAGTTAAACATCAGCGAATTCACACTGGTGAGAAACCCTACAAGTGTACAGAATGCTCATATGCTTCTTCTATAAAATGTAATCTAGTCCAACATCAGAAAGTTCACACTAATGAAAGACCATTCAAGTGTGAACAGTGTTCATATGCTTCTTCTCGTAAACGCCTTCTTGTTTTACATCAGCGAATTCACACTGGTGAGAAACCCTACAAGTGTACAGAATGCTCATATGCTTCTTCTATAAAATGTAATCTAGTCCAACATCAGAAAGTTCACACTAATGAAAGACCATTCAAGTGTGAACAGTGTTCATATGCTTCTTCTCGTAAACGCCTTCTAGTTTTACATCAGCGAATTCACACAGGTGAGAAACCCTACAAGTGTACAGAATGTTCATATGCATGTTCTGTAAAAGGTAATCTAGTCAAACATCAGCGAAATCAGCATTTGTAGGGAGAATCCCTGCAAATGTAACGACTGTGAATACACAAGCCCTTCTAAATCAAATTTTATTAATGATCATCAATGAATTCATACTGAGAAAAAACGTTATAAAGAAAGATCAGGGCCAGGGTAGTCTCACGATTAACTTTTGTTAGATTATTGATGCTCATGCTTTCAAATACAGGGGGGAGGGGCCAAAAGTCAGTACCCATACGTTGGCCTTAATAGCTCAGTCACTGAGTGTCTAATTAAAATAATTCTTTCGGTTATGACTTACTACCATGACCACCTCAGCTCTGGTTCGAGGAATTTTTCAAATTGAAAAATATTCGTGTTATGTATGTTCATTTGTTACAAATAAAGGTTCATTTTCGCATTTGTTTGTAGTTTGGACCATAGTCAGATTGAGCAAAATTGTATTGAATTGTGTGGCCATTTGAATTACGTTTGTTCTGAAAAATGATAGTTCTAGCTTCTCAGATGGCCGAGATGTGAAGCATAGTTACGAGTTTGTTCATTACGTGTGATTAGGTGATTGAGTTGAGGCTAGATCCGCATTATGGGAATCGTGCAGAGAGCTCAATTACAGTGTTGTAATTAGGTAATAATTGATTACCCAATCAATTTTGCTAACGAGATAAACAAATTGCTTGATAACTTCGTCATTTTCAATCCGTTTCGAAACCATCTTATCAGGTTATAATATTCTGGATTAAATGACTTATTGCGATATGTTACAACGGAGTCTCTAACATGTTCGCAAACGTTAAACACGAGTATAAGCAATTAAATGTTGATTGTTGATTAGGTGTGGCTCCCAAATATCCAATTTTAAAATTTTTGTGACTGAATCCTCGAACAAGTAGGTACAGTGCAGTATGCCATCTACAAAGCAACAACTATATAAAATGTAAAACACGGTGGTGGTTCATGACCCAATGTTTGGATACTGACTTTTGGCCCCCGGCCCCCTGTATTATAATCCACCCCAAATTTGAAATATTTATTTTAGAGTCCACAAAACAGTAATTGTTACTGCATCTCTGCATGATCACTGTGTGGAACTTGTGTTTTTTTAACCATGCCTTTTAATTCAGATGTACTAAATACATGTACTGCTTGTGGCTCTATGCTATGCAGGGGGACCTAAGATTAACAGCTGGTAATGGTTATATTAGACAACGTGGCGTTATTTTTTAATGTTTTTTTTAATGCTTGTATGTTTCATAATTTAATGAAGATATTATTTTGTAATCTGGAGATGAGTTTTTAATACTATTATACATTTTTAAATTTAGTGTTTAAAACCACGAGTTTGTTCTGCAGGGGTTTCCCTGCTCCCCTGGCCTTCAAAATAGCTTAATAAATTGTTTGAACTGTATTGTGAAACCATCCAAAGGAAGATTATTTAAGTCTTTATTGTGCCAAGTAAAGTTTTTACTCTTTTAGATACTAGTATTTGATGTAATTCTAACTTCTTGAATCTGTTTGCAGGAAAGATTTCTATGTCAAATCGGGAGACAAGATCACAAACTGTTAAAGTTGAAGTGAAGACTGAGATTCTGGACCATATTATCAAGAAGGAGATAAAGACTGAGCTACAGGAAGTCACCGGGAAGTCACACGGTTTTATTTGTCCCACATGTAAAGCTCATTTCCTTTACGATGAGTTCTTTATGGAGCATATTAAAGAACACCACGAGAATATGGCTGCTGAAAAAGTAAATTCTAATCAGCCAATGAGTTCTTCTGGAATATCAGAAAAAGAGAACAATTCAAAGAATACCACACATGTAAGTGAACCTTTAAAATGTGATGTTTGTTCCTTTTCTTGCTCCTACGAATCTCATCTTCTGGAACATCAGAGAGTTCATACTAATAAAAATCCATTAAAATGTCAACAGTGCTCATATGCTTGTTCTCATAAACGTGATATAGTGAAACATCAGCGAATTCACACTGGTGAGAAACCCTACAAGTGTGAACAGTGCTCATATGCTTGTACTCAAAAATGTAATCTAGTGAAACATCAGCGAATTCACACAGGAGAGAAACCCTACAAGTGCAAAGATTGCTCATATGCTTGTACTCAAAAAGGTAGGCTAGTTAACCATCAGAGAATTCACACAGGAGAGAAACCCTACAAGTGCAAAGATTGCTCATATGCTTGTACTCAAAAATGTAATCTAGTTAACCATCAGAGAATTCACACCGGTGAGAAACCCTACTGTAAGTGCAAGGAATGCTCATATGCTTGTTATCTAAAAAGTAGTCTAGTGAAACATCAGAGAGTACACACTAATGAAAAACCATTTAAGTGTGAACAGTGCTCATATGCTTCTTCTCGGAAAGACACTCTAGACTTACATCAGCGTACTCACACGGGTGAGAAATCCTACAAGTGTGAACAGTGCTCATTTGCTTTCACTCAAAAAGGTAATCTAGTCAGACACCAGCGAATTCACACTGGTGAGAAACCCTACAAGTGTAAACATTTCTCATATGCATGTTCTCAAAAACATCCTCTAGTCAGACATCAGCGTGCTCACACGGGTGTTCATACTCCTATAATTACAAGCAGTGCTCCCATCATACTTGAGCCGACTCAAACCAGAAAGAAAAAAAAGTCAAAAGGTAGAGGAAAGTAGCCCAACTACCGAATCTCACATAGCATTAATTGTTAATTGCCTCTCAATGCTGATGGTTGTTAATGTTAATTTTATGAAAATTATTTTTGATTTACTGAACAGTCTGTGTCCTTTATTCTGTTAAATTATAAAATACTAAAGTTCATATAAATCTAACACGTTATAACGCATTGAAATTTCTTCCTTAAATCATGAGATTGTATGGAGCTTTTACAACACGATAGTTCTTATGTGACCAACCAAACATTCGGAATGTTTTTTTTTTGTTCTGGTACGGTATTCTATTTGTGACTTCAGTTTTCTTTTGTAATGATTTTGTAATGACTTTGCAATCGACTGAATGACCTGAATTGAAGTATGCGGTATTTTTAAAGATTTAAATTCGAATATTTTAATAGGTGCAACCCCCGCCCCATCCCCCCCCCCCCCCCCCCACCCAGTGCCAGCGTTTATAATATAAATTATACTATGCCCCACCACACAATGTATTTAACTATTGGAATGTATTTCAATATTCATTAAGTCGCTGTTTGAGTGAAATTGATTTCATTGATTTGCTGACAAATATTTCTGTATTTAAAGGAAGATGTTCCATGTTGTCGCTGACACTCATGTTTTTAGTATCATGGTTGAACTAATTATTTTCCTTTTTTAAAGACTTGAGTTTAACGTATTAACGTATTAACTCAAAATTCAATTATAAATAAGCTTTGGATTATTCAACAGTGATATAAAATATATTAAATACTCTCTCCTAGGATGAGATGTCTCTGTGCGATAGACAGCATTGGCAACGACGTCATCTTCCTCAACTGTGACAGTGAATTCAACACCTACCTCCAAAAAGAAGCAGTGAAACTTTTTGGTGATGACTATGTCGCAGCGGACACAACCACACCTGATATAAACGTAGCAACAATCTTCTTCCTCCCCTTCACCACCATCCAGAACAAACAACACCAGCAGAACAACCCACTCAACTCTGTTCTCTGTCAGGATGGTTTAAAAGTGGCTCTCCACCGCTTTGACAATATTGATGTGGTGGCTGTAGACAGCGATTCGAGTAGCAAGAACGCTTGTTTGTCACAGTGCGTGGTTTTTGAGAAGTTGGCAAAGCTACATTTGGGACCGGCTACTCTGTATTTGAAACCCAGTGATCTGGCATTGCGGAGGCAGCTGTGGACTAAGATATCTGATTATCTTGATTATTGGAACGATGTGTGTGGTTTGTCTGAAAAATACCTCTGTAGTGATGATGAATATTTTAGTATGACGTGTGAAGAAAATTTCAAGCAACACTTCCTATTCCAAGCAGTTGAAGAGCTGCATATTAACACAGAACTGAAACGCCAAGCAACTGAACTGGTAACAGAAGCTCTGCAATCAGCCCAGAAGATAGACAGAGCTTACTGTGAGGCTATCCTTGTAGTAAACGGTAAAGTTTTAGTCTCTCACTCATACAGACAAGCTCAGCGACTGGACCCCTCAGATTTACTCTTTATACTGTTTATAGCTCACTGCTCTCTACCCAAGTCTCCTGTAGAAATAGATTACGGTGATAACCTGTCCGAATCAGAGGAGATGAAACATCACCAACAAAACATCTTTATCAGAAAAGTAGATCAGACTGACAATTACCTGCCCTGTACTCTAACTGCGGTTTGTATTCGCGCTGGTATTGTGCTGATCCTCCTAGCAGAAACTAAGACTGCCATCGCGCCAAACATTTGCCGTGCCATTCAGTCGCTCTCTCAGTTGTACAGCAAAATAGATGAGATTGCTACAGAAGCTGAGAGAGGCCAGCATAACGCGCAGATTAATACCAAGACTCTGCCAACTAATTTTCTCAAAGTGAAAGGTGTGGTTGATTTTTATTTTGCGCGCATGGAGAAGGACATGGAAAACATCAGTACTCGTCTTAGCCACCAGTGGAATAAAGTACGTGACCACTGGTATGCGGTTTCCACTAGCGCGGGGCACTTGGGTGAGGAAAACCGGTATTTTCACGAGTTTGAGAGGAAAACGTTCAGTTTAATCACCGATTTAAGGAAACTTTTTTACAGTATCTACTGCACTGACGAGGACTCGGAGATCCACAAAGATATCAATGATATCTACAAGAAAGTGTCTCTCGGTCTCCGGGACTCCTCCTCATTTCTCCTGGTGAAAGCTCAGAGAAACTTCACACTCGGCAACTACCTGTCCGACTTCCAGGGATAGTCCACTTCCTTGTGATTGATAGGACTAAGAACAAGATAATAGTCCCCTCACTTGGCGCTCAAGGGCAGAGTGCCCGCTTCTGTCACAAGATCATACAAACACTTGCCAGGTTCCATCGCAACATGGTTCACAGCGGCTACCTGGGTGGTTTCATGAAGAAAAAAGACATGTTGTTCACATATAAACTGTGGTTTCAGAACCAAGGGAAGGTGGTCTCACCGGAGACAACAGTTCAGTATGTACCTACTCAGCCCCGGTCACAACTACTCTGCATGTTGTATCATAACATGGTTCAGCATTACTTTGGTGCACGTGCCCCGCTTGTGGAATGTTTTGAGCTACTGACTATACATATTGGAGAGGTTCCCTTGGAGTATGTTAATGATTCTGCTACTCGTCTTATGCAGGTTGTGGTGTCTGATTTCGCTTCGTAGATTATAATACCTCATCTAGATCATACTCCTACTCCACCAAATACGAATACAATCAAATATTCTACGATTGAAGATTAAAGCGAAGTTGTAAGTTGTTTGAGTGTTCCACAGGAGGAATTAGTTACTTAAAAAGCATGTTCTTGTTAGAACCGCTAATTTTCTCTATCCAGAAATAGTTTGTTAATAACCCGCTGACAGGACCTGGAACACTGTGAGCACTTTAACATATGACGTCATCCAACTATCATTACTTGCTTCTCACAGAAACAATCATAGTACATACAATTACATGTTACATTTTGTCATGATGGTATAAATCACACTTACCATTGGTAAGTGTGCTTTTTGGCTTGATTTTTTGCTGTGAGCTTGGCCCGAGGCAACATTTTATGTATGTAATAAAAACTGTCGTGTTTTAAACTATGAGGAAGAGTGCAAGTACTGCTACACCAGTTATTTGACACAAACGTGTGCCAAATTTGCTATAAATAACGTGATGATGTATAGATTAGCTTTAAATGGGGTGTAATTGTGCACACATACACACATACACACATACACACATACACACATACACACATACACACATACACACATACACACATACACACATACACACACACATTTACACCTACTCTACTCGTATACTACAGTCCTATCCTCGAAGTGACATGTAATTCAACACTTTATATATTTTGCCGCTGTATGTACCCTGTGATCTAACGTTATCTTGCTGGAATGTTGCCAGCTCTCAACTCCCCAACATGATCTAAACCTGGTCCAGTTTTGGGGTTACTTCCTGATATCTACCCCGTGTGATAAAATATATAAAGTATCTTCTCGTGTGCTGCGAGACCTGCTGTGTTTTTAATGAGTGCCGTTCGGGAGAAAACCTCGTGATATTTGAATCTGTTGTGTGTGGAGGAGCTTGTGGCGGGTATGAGGTGATTTGGATTATTTTTCGACAGTTCCATTTTATTGCAATGTGCATTTATAAATATAGTGCTTTTATGAGTGCTGTGTATTTATAAATGTAGTGCTTTCATGTGCGGTGCATTTATTACAATGTAGTGCGTTTATACGTCATGTAGTAGTAGTGTGCGTTGTTTTGTGTGATGTTGGTTATTAATACATCACCAGCCTTATTAAGGTTTCAGAGTTTAGTTCAAAGCTTTTTACTCAGAGAAACGGGGGAGTGTGCTCTCCTCGTATTTATTATATAATTGCATAATATATCGACACATGACAGTGATTCTGGGGTTTGATTGGTTAAAAGTCGAAGCTGATTTGTTAATTTCTGTCACGTGTCTAAAAAACATCATCTCCCCACATCTCTATTATATATTACATAATATACCGATTTGGTTTTAATCCCCAAATATGGTTTCTAGCACATGTGTTATTTTTCAGATTTATTGTGTGCGTTACGTTTGAAGATTTACGTTTCGACCTTAACTTGTTAACATATTTATGTTAACATATTTATTGTGATTGTTGTGATTTAATAAAGCAATGAGCTGGTCTCGTTATAAACATTTTATTATAGAGTTTATTTTTTACTTTTTGTGTTCTAATTTTCTATTTCAGTTTACCTGTGTTTTAAAGCATATTATACATGATAATGTTCTACAGTTTATCCCTTGTTTTGAACTCTCAAAATAACTGATTAACACGATTTAAATTAAAGTTGACAGAATTATTACTACACCAAACATACAGGCTTCCCTCTTTGGCAAAAGGGAAATCCTTCAAAATGTTGGAGTGATAATTCGGCCGGGGTATTACATATTATTCGTATAATATATATACACATTACCGGTACCTGGTGTAGCGTAGTTAGCCGATATATCGGTAGTACACACGCACACTCTCGTTACTACACTACTATTATACCTAACGCATAATGCTACAGTAACATTGCATAATATTACTATTCTATAGTACTTTCCTGGTCGATATATCCCCATAATTTAAAAATAAGTTGTCCTGTATTCTATTGCCATGCTGTGTATTTACTGTTAAATTGATGACACCCCCTTGCAACCTTAGTTCGTGCTATTGTCCACGGATTTGATTGTTGTAAAAGTGTAGAACTAAGGTTGTTGTTGCGTGGATTACCTTGTGTGGTTCTTGTTGATCGTTTGTTATTATTATATGTAAGGAACACGATTGTAATATATTATATAGCGTGATATTTATGTTTATTTCGGTGCGTTACATCAATCTTTATAATGTTAGGTGATGACGAACCAATAGAGCTACTGTGAACGATATATTTCATATATTCGCGAGAACCACGCTGCTCCTTCTTCGTAATCTGTGACACAGTTAAAGAATGACAGAATATAAGCTCGTTGTCGTCGGAGGTATTGTTCAGGGATTTTGTTTTAATTGGTTTTTAATTACCCGTTAATTAGAAGATGGCATGTAGATATTATGTGTTTAGTGTTCGTTAGGGAGACTGGGAGAATAGTACTAAGTCGCTAGGATAATTATCGTTATTACGTTATGATGGTACCTCGAGAATTAAATCTATTAATAGTTGTGAACTATGCGGATATGATAATTAATTAAGCGTACAGATGATTGATGATTGAAACTAATTTATTGATAATCAATTAACCATATATTATCCATAGCTGGAGGTGTCGGTAAAAGTGCACTGACGATACAGCTGATTCAGAACTACTTTGTGGATGAGTATGATCCCACTATTGAGGATTCTTACAGGAAACAGGTTGTCATAGACAACGACACCTGCTTATTGGTTAGTCTTCAATTAGACAATTAGTTGATGTATAATTGATTTATAATTGATTGAAACCAAAAATTTGCAATTTTTGTTCATAATGTTATTATATTGACCAAACTGAACTGGAAAGTTGGATACATTGCATGTCAATTATATATTGGTATTGCACGCGCATTGTATTCAATTAATTTTTGTATGGATGTTGCAAAGTCAGTCCGAGTAAGATTACCGATTATATGCTCAAGTTTTGAAGGATAGCCTGTTCTGCAGAAGATAACTCCTTGCATCTGCAAACTAATTGGACAAGAATATCTGGATAAATAAACCGAATTTGTACTAGTTCAATCTACTTGCGCTTGATTTTGTATATAATGACGGTCACAATGAACAAACATTAACACTGTAGAACTCTACGGTTCCCCCGGATGAAAACTCTGTTTATCCCAGGATATTTTGGATACGGCAGGTCAAGAGGAGTACAGTGCAATGAGGGACCAGTATATGAGAACAGGAGAAGGCTTCCTGTGTGTGTTTGCGGTGAATAACGAGAACAGCTTCAGAGAGGTCGACCTCTATAGGGAGCAGGTACGTTAAAAGTTAAGAAAACTAGACTTGGAATATATAGACTTTGGGATATATAGACTTGAAGAAATGATTGTAGACTTGGAAAGATAGAATTGGTAAAAACTTAGACTTACAAAAACTAGACTTGGCAAAAACTAGAATTGGGGAAATACTCGAGTCTAGATTTGGAGAATACTACACTTGGAAAATACTAGAATTGGGAAGTATCTGCTAGATAAGGGTCTTGGCTGAGAATCTTGTTCCTTTTTACATATTCTTCTAATTTGTAGTAGTTGTACAGTAATACTAAGGTAATGGGACTACTGCGGACCATCTACCGGCCAAACTTTGTTAACGCTGTAAGAAGATGGCGATCAGACCTCATTATTCTTCGAATTTATACAAAAGTAAAAAATTGTCAATTCTAAGAATCTCAATATTTCTAATATTCTTTCTTTCAGATTAAACGAGTCAAGGATTCTGAAATGGTGCCTATGGTCTGTAAGTAATACATTATTATTACCACGGCCCTATTTTAGTTTTAAATTTGGAATATCATCCGTTATTATGTGATCTGGCATCTTGTAGGAAAATATCACGCCCCTTTTCTCTTCCTGTTACCCGTATTTTTTAAAGATCGTGACTTCAGTTTCCGTAGTTCCTTGGTAACCCACATCATGGGTCAATGCCGCATAATCTTTTCCTATTTAGAATGGACACCTCTGGTACTAGCAAAATATTTACCTCGTATCTATGAAGTTGCACTATCCTTAACAATATGTGTGTTTGCGCGCATTGCGCGTACACTGTTGAGGATCCGCACTCAATAATAAGATCATCGCAGTCCTATGTTTACCGTGTAAACAGATACTGTTCCTAGGCCTGAATTTATCAGTTTAGATCATCCCATTTGTATTTTAAAGGCTACCCTTCGGCATCATTTCACTAAATATAGGTCACTGTATTTCTGGTGCAAGGTTGGTAAGGTTTCCTGTTAGTTGGCACTTACATACAAAGTAACGAAGTGGGACCTCTACTTCTACAAGACGTCATTCTTCCCAAATCAATTACCTTATTTTGTGTAATTTATATAGCAGAAAATCTAGTGAAATAGAGATTAAACCTAAAGTGCCTGGATAAGGAGGTAACATTTTACACTCGCCGGTTCTAAGTGCCGCCCTACACCCGAACTGGACCTCTTATACCGGAACTCTCAAATCATTTCTCCGCAACTTTTGCCACTGTCGGTGTTTTACCCGTCCATGGACGCTTAGTCAGGTGGCATTAAGTTTCGACACCAAAAGCGAACCTTTCACCTCAGATATTGATAAAGTAACTCTCCTTGTGCATTGTGTATCATAAGATCTCTCGTCCAAACAATGACGACATCATGACCATTAATGATTCCCCTTTTCCCGTCTATCCGGGTCACTGAAGAGCCAACGTGTATAATCCTATGAATAATTAATTTTCAGTGGTTGGTAATAAGATAGACCTGCCGCACCCTGCTGTCAGATCAGATGAAGCTAACTCGAAAGCCAAAGAGTTCGGTATTCCGTATGTAGAGACGTCAGCTAAGACCAGACAGGGAGTCGACGATGCGTTCTACACTCTCGTCAGGGAAATCAAGGTGAGATTGTTTTGTAGGGTTGCCATATCGTGCTAATATCTAGACATCTCACCATTTGTCAAGAAATCATTCGTAATAGCACCTACCGGCTTCCTACCGGGCCATTGGCCCTAAAATTTTTGATCAAACTTTTAATTTACAAGTTCCTTAATTCCCCATTTTAAACGTCTAATTATGAACACATAGTAATTCTAGATGGTTGGAGTTTAAAAATAGGTTACAAAATGTTTTAAAATCAGCTGAACTATGAAAATTCATTATTTGAGTGGCCCTCCCTACTGTAAATAAACCACAAGCATGACGAACACCCATTCATTACAGCATTATAACTTACGTAATATATATATATATGACCAGTCACTAATTAAAGATTGCTATTAAATACCTTTATATATTACTATAATATTTATTACTTAATATAACTATTATGCCACCATAGTGTATTAATATTATAAAGTCTGGAGGATTGACTTTTACAAAATGAAGTAACTGAAATAATTTTGGGGTCGCCGTTCCTAACAAACCATAGGGGGGGGGTTTCGTTTTTATATAAGGTGTAAAAAGTGTCCCCCCCCCCCCGACCATATCATTAGTTACAATGTTCCATTTTCAGAAACAGCGGGAGAACCTGAAAGGTAACGACAAGCCAAAACAAAACAAACCGTGGATTAAACGGTGCACAATGCTATAGACTCGAACTATTCATCATCATCACGGACTCTCCGATATCAGTTCACCGTCCAGTAAATTGTGTCATGCTACTTTTCGTTATAATCGATCCAGTGAGGGAGCTGTGATAACCAGGGTATCATGATTATTCATTAACTTGGTTGATTTTTTTCAACGATTACTCTTGATTACATTTTTGTGTCGATATATTGTTAGCTTGGATGGAAATGGAGGTGTTGAACTATTAATAGATCCTTTTGTAGCGTGATTGATCACTTGATTAGCGTTATTGATATGAATGAATACAGTTGACCTGATATATATTACAACGCTTGTAATACATAATAGTACACATTTTTTTGCCCCCAATGCCGTAATTTGCCGAAGTATATTATTAAGAAGTAGTGCCTGTATAAGGAAGTAGAATTAAATCTCAGGTTTTTGGGAATCAATAATTCTTGATTTTTTGTCACATTTTGTCGGAAAGGAAATACATAGTTTAAAATTTTTGATATTTTCTTATGGTTTTATATTCTTATACGGAGGTTGTTTGGTTGCCGTGGCCCGCTATTTTGAAGACACGGTAACTTTTTAATAGATCAAATGGCACTTTATTTTCTTTTACTTGTAGTTCCCCGTTTTAAAGCTGATCAACATCTTCACGTGATATGTTATTACTAATTAGACAACTAATTAGATTGGGACTGATAGTTTTACATTTGATTCACATTCATTTAATCACCATCTCTGTAGACATATTTAGAATATTTTGAGATCTTACGTGGGATAACTGTCTGGAATGTTGATATTTTATCATTTTAATTAAGGATGATATAGCGCCTATGAGATTATTTGCTGCGCTTAATAATGATAATACAATATTTCATGATTTAAAACGCGGAGATTAGACCTAGTGCAGATTATAGAAACTAGAGTTACTAGAACCAGCATGTGCGTCAGGGTTTTTCGGTTTGCAAGATTTCTATTTTCTTGAGGAACGTTGTTCGTGGTATAATATTGGGCCTCAGTCATGGTTATGATTAAATTAAAATATTGAGTTGATTTATTGTTAGTGATATTAGCAAGCATTTTATTGGTTGGATTTCGAAATAAGCATAAAGAGAACTAACATGGGATTGTTTTGTATATAAAATTTTCCTGACACAAGCACCGTCTTTTGTGTGACAAATTATGCGTATTTATGCGAATATTTGCCCCATTTAGAGCATTAAAAGGGTTCAATGACGAGCGCACCTTCTTTACATGGAAAACCTTAAAATTCACCCCTAACTATTCTCCAAAAACATGACCCTAGTATTCCTCAGAAATACGTACAACTGTACGTATTTCTGGGGGCATTCCAAAACATTACGTCAACTGTAAGCTACTGGTAGCTTACAGTTGACGTAATGTTTGGGAATGCCCCCACAGACATAACATCATATGTTTGTCATTGCTGACCTCATTTCTGTTTAAAAGAATGTACAGTTTTTCGTCAACCAATATCATACAAATACACAGCAATGGTACAATTCAAAACATAACCTCATAAATTCATTCCTATGGTAAAATACTTGCAAGATCTAATAAAGCTCCAGGAAATACTTCCCTTCGCTGCAAATATATCAGCAAAATATTCATAAACATAACGTATTAAAAAGTTCAGTATATCTGCGGTTAAGGAAGCTTTTTACAAGGTGAAAAGCTGAAAGACCTGCCATAAACGGAGGTCGTTAAAAACAATAAATCTATTTTAAATCTAAAGTTCGCTTCGACCCTGGGAAGCGGCGATGGCCTCTACTTTCTTGACATATTCGCTTTTCTCGGTGCAACCCTTGCAATTTTGACCATGTTGTTCCAGAATCTTCTTCAGATCTTTAACTTTCAGTTTCTTGATGTTAACAGTCTTCAGGTCAATCTGCTTCTCTGAAATAGCCAAAAATTAGAACGTTGATCTAGGAAAGCGGTAACTGAGATTTGAGCCCGAAAAGTGAAAGGGGCTTTAAAAGAATTTGGATATTTCGCCTATTCCATGAAATTTCCAGTGTAATAATGACTATTATAGGGCTAATATAGCAGCAAGTTGCGGCGGAAATAAAGTGGGCATAAAGAACGACCAGGGATGTATGTGTTTCACACTCGGGCTTCGTTGATAACAGCAGTCAGCGACGGCTTTTGTTTCTGCTTTAGAGGCTGATAAGCTGTAACACTAACCAGTCATCTTATAACCCTGACTAGTGGTCACATGGGCCTTAATATTGCTGTTTGGGTCAAACCCGCTGTCGGCACGCCATCTCAAAATATTGTCGCCTGCCAAACCAAAACCTGGTTTTTCTGGCTCATCATCAACTGTGATGAATTATTGGTAGAAATTCGCTAGTCCGAGAAATGTGAAGAAGTAACTGTTGCTAACATTAGACCAATGTTAACAATGGTTTACATTCTGGTTACAATTAAAGCGGACCCGCAGTATAAGCGGAGGATATGGTCCTGAAATTAGGCTCATGTATTATGTAGGAATGATCCCTTACTGTCACCAACATCTAAATGAACATTCTTATTTATACTCTTAGCTACAGGTTGCTTACACTTACAGTTATCTTAATTGTAGAGCTTTGCAACGAGACAATCAAGGGCAATCTACTTCATCGAATAGCTAGAGTACACGCTAATCTTCGAATAGATGGGGATCTGTAGCGCGCAAGAGCCGCGCAATAACACTGGGACAAGGCGTACTTTTCATGGTGCCAGAGAAACAATTCGGCTAGTATTTACAGCTATTCGCACGTATGTGATCCATTATGCAATGTGTTACGTACGAAAGTGCCCCGAAATCAGTTTTAGCGGGCCTGTTGACAAATGTGCTAAAAATATGTACGACATGCATTTCTGCATTTCACGAGCAGATTATGCTGGGCCTTCCTTGGTACACCAACATCTCTAATCTTCTCACCAAATATAACTTCCCCCACTCATCCTCTTCAAAATCCAAGCTCTCTACCCAAATCAGTCACAACATGAGGGAAGAATTTGTGGATACCTGGAAATCTGCCAAGGCATCCTCACCTAAATTAGAATTCTACAATCAAATTAAACATGATTTTGAACCAGAAACATACTTAGGAGTGGTTAAGATCCCCGATGCTCGGAAAAGCTTAACAAGGTTTCGTATTAGCTGCCACAATCTTTACATTGAGAGGGGCCGTTACGAAACCCCCCTAGTACCAAGAGAACATCGATGGTGCACTTTTTGCTTTCTCAGCAAGGGGCTTAAGCCTATTGAGGACGAAATTCATGTTCTAACTGACTGTTTACTCTACTCCTCAGTTAGAGAAAAATTTAACTTCCATCCCAAAAATATTACTGACCTAGCCGGTTTGCTATCCGATAAAACACTAGACCCTACAAAATTTACTGCCACAGCAAGAGCAATCCATTCAATTCTCTCTGTGAACGAACATTTTACAGCCTACTATAAGAGCCCAGATTTCCACTCAAATACTGGCCAATGCATAATGCTATAGGACCTCAAAAATAGTATTATAAAACATTTCTATTTTATCCCTACACATTTGTAAATAACTAGAATTGTGTAACCTTAAATTATTTCAGAATTATAACTATTGTGAATTCAATAAAATAATTATCACTTTTGTATCCTTGTATCCTTGTATCCTTGTATCCTTGCATTATCCGCACCATTGCACTCACCGTATTTAAGATCACAAATTGAAGCATCCTTCTTGTGCAGCTCTCCGCAAATCTTCTCCACAGGCTTATGGAATGACATAGGTTTAGTGACCATCTGTGTCATACCAGTTGCTGAAGTTTCAGTTGCTCCAATGTACCAGCACTGCGGATTGAGGAAAGTTTATAATTTATCACGTAGTTAGTACGTGGTAGATATTTTCAGCTACCAGTCTTCTTTTTGGGAAGGAAAATGTTTTGCCCTCCCTTTTAAGAAACGCCCATAATTTTGTAAAAATTGGCGGGTAAATAACGTGTTAGCCAAAAAACAGAGGGTTTTATGAAAATAATGTAAACAATGTACGTTGGTATACGGTTACACAGCTGCTCATGGTACATATTTCATGAACACTGACAAGATGAGCAATTTTATTCTAACAATCCTCTTCCCTCCGTCAGTATGCTAAAATAATACCTAGCACAATACAAATTACTTAATTTAAGTATGATGATTAACTAATCATTGAAGCTGCCAGATTGTACAAATTGTCTCAAAAAAAACATCAAATAATAAATTTCTTACGAATCTCTCATCTTTAGGCTGTGTAGTTTTGCATTCTTTCCTCAAAACTGTGTCTATCTTGGTGTGATCACTCTGTATGGAATTATCTAGACCGTCGAGAGTAGCTCTGAACTTTGTAAGGAATGTGATACACACTGAAACGAGGATGTGATTAGTCACTAATAGGTTAATTCCAAGTTACTAATTAACAAATGAGTTGGTTCATTAGGTACTAATATAGTAACCAAAGTTACATTTTTTAATAAGATCACCATCATATTTGCCCGTGCACCACAAATATATTGTATAATACTAGGTATGGTACAATGTACAATGTACCATACCCTGTATTGTAAATTCTATCTGATAACTGAACCTGGACAACGGAGACTTTTTGGGGAGAAACTTAAGGAAATCATTTTGGGAAGACTGCAATAAAACCACTGTGTGTATCTTTGAATGGCAATAAAATAATAGTGTAAAATTGTAAATAACAAAACCAATAAATATCTTTAAAACGTAAATATGGACTGATGAAGCGGGGAGCCTACTTTTGAAAATATAATTAGCCATAACAACAAAATGAACATTTAACATTTAGCAAAATAAATAGGATTTCCTGAACCATGGCCTCTTTTTGACAAAAACACAATTTCCCCTGTCTAAACGTAGAAAACAAGAACAGCTATTATTATTTATTTGGAAACCAGCCCACTAAATAACTGAAACATCTAAAGCATCGTAAAAATCAATTAATTATCCAATTAATCAAATAGCTATTTAATTAGTAAATTAATCGGTTCACTAAAGAATTATGTCATTTAACTATTGCTCCCTCTTGATGAGAACGAAAAGAGCCAGAAGTCCAAGCAGAGCGTATTTTAGGTTGGGTTTATCGTTCATCAGAATTGTCATCATTCCAACATAAGGCAAATAACCCTGAAAAACACGTGTTATAATTTGGATAGCCTGTCAAGTGTCAAATACATAGATAAGAAATGTGTCATGAGTCATAGGGTATTACAAAGTGAACGTGTTTAAAAGATAAGAACATACTGGCATGATTTCTATCTGTTGTTAGCCTATATGTATAACGAATATGAACACCTTTCTGCATATCATTCTTACATAATGGGCCAAAATTCAATTCAAATTTGGCGGTTAAAACTTTTGTCTCGTTTATTATACTTATTTTAATTAGCACTGAGGAGCTTATTAGGGCTCGTGCCCTCCTAGCTTGCCAGGAGGGACTTTTAAATTCAATAGCACTGAGAAAAATCAGTCTCCTTCTCAACTGCCAATTTCAAATCGGACCTCTCCAAAAGATAATTCTAACCTTAGCTCTGCCGATGAGGTCAGTTTCTTCTAACCATAGCTGTCCTTCGTCATACAGACCACGGTCGTCTATGTTATTGTTATCACCTTTTGTCAGGAACTTAACATACCTGGTAAAATATAGGATTGTTAAACAGTCTCATTAAACTATATAAAAAAATAAGTATAAAGAATAAGGAAAAGGAACGGGAATGAAGCCAATACCAGAAGTGAAACCCCACCAAAGAATAATTGATCCTTAGGTAGACCTGGTGAAATAAAGTAACTGAACTGTAAGTTTAAGAAAAGACGGAAGGAATAAAGGAGAGAGGAAATAATGTTATGTGAACATCATCAGCAGATGACTTGGCACACCGGTTTCGGGGGTTTAATACCTGTACTTCAATCCAAAGTTCGCTAAGCTTAGCAAAGAACAATATTGATATTTATGGACCTGATATTTATATTGGTATAACTTAATCAATTTTCCAAAGCTTTCAAACAAATTGTCAGGAAACGAATATTAACCGATATTGAGATTTAATCTACTGTCTCCACTCTGACCTACCCGTCATCTTTCTCGTGAACTTTGATAACTCTGTGCACGATGGGGATGTTCCTGCCCTTAATCCTGAACACCGCCACATCCCCCACCCTGACTGGCTCGGGATAGTTGGTCAGGAACAGCAGGTCCCCTCTGTAGTACGCCGGCTGGAATTATTAGAGTTGTTAACTATAAGTAGAATTATAAAATTGTTTGAACGAGTATGAAGAAGTGGGGAAATTGTGAGATTAGGTCTGGACTTTGGCCACTATACGGCCACTATACGATTACTATATATAGTGGCCGTTTAGTGACCGTTTATAGGCCGTGTAGTGGCCCTTCAGTGCCCAAACCTAATCTCCCAAGGAAGTGATTAGAGTTACAGTGTAACACTGCACTGGTCAGTAGTCACTAGTACATTGTAGGAAATATTCTATATTATCTGCATTGTGCACACTGCACAGTCATTGGCCCTATTTAACCCTACAAAACAAACAGCAAACTCTGTAAGAAAATTGAGATAAAAAAGGCAGTTTTTTGTATGAAAGCGGTCGACTCAAGATCAAAGTAATTATATATATTAGGACGCAGTGAAACTATAACAGCAATGGTCGTTAAAAGCTCGCTGTTGCAATAATAGCAGTACACTAAAACTCTCAACTCAGAGGCCAGCTTTCAGCAGTTGTGGTATTATGAAAATTGTTATTATGATAACTGTTATTATGATATACCTGCATAGATCCACTGAGAACGACAACTATAGGACTCTCACAGTGCGTCACCACAAAGAGTCCTTTCCATAACATCAGTGCTGAACTGACAATCATCTGTTAATGCTCCGTCGCAGTTATTCCAGTATTGTTGTAGATAGAGTTGCAGATAGAGTAGCAGTATTTTGTAGCAGTATTTTGCAACATCTAACTTTTTGGACGTCTTGTTCTCCGTAACCCCACTAATATCAACTTCCCCCTGCCCCCCCCCCCCCACTATACTCAGTAACCTCACTAATATCAAACATTCCCCCTGCCACCACACCATCCCCCCGGTATCACATCAAAAGATCCCATCCTGGTATCTTCCGCACTCCCTGACTTGTAGGACTCTGCCTCAGGGGCTTAGCCACACTGTTGCTTTCCTCGTCCAACTGCGTTCTGCTCTCACAATCCCTTTAACGAGAGCAGGACCTGCACTACTGGTCCGGGTCTGAGGGTCGCTGGCCCATGAGGACTGGGCTGCCAAGCATTGCTAACTTCTGAGGGGGGGGGGTTAATGTAATGAGACTGGGCATGCGAGCATGCTGCTTCTGAGGGGGGGGGGGTTAATGTAATGAGACTGGGTGCGAGCATGCTACTTCTGAGGGGGGGGGGTTAATGTAATGAGATGGGCTGACCAAGCTGCTCCTTCTGAGGAGGGGGGGGTTAATGGAATGAGATGGGGCTGCGGCATGCTGCTTCTGAGGGGGGGGGGGTTAATGTAATGAGGACTGGGCTGCCGAGCATGCTGCTTCTGAGGGGGGGGGGTTAATGTAATGAGGACTGGGCTGCCCGTGCATGCTACTTCTGAGGGGGGGGGGTTAATGTAATGAGACTGGGCTGCCAAGCATGCTACTTCTGAGGGGGGGGGGGGGGGTTAATGTAATGAGACTGGGCTGCGAGCATGCTACTTTCTGAGGGCGGGGGGGGGTTAATGTAATGAGGGACCGGGCTGCCGAGCAATGCTGTTCTGAGGAGGAGGGTTAATGTAATGAGACTGAGCTGCCGAGCATTGCTGCTTCTGGAGGGGGGGTTCAATGTAATGAGATGGGGCTGCCGGCATGCTGCTTCTGAGGGGGGGGGGGGGGTTAATGTAATGCGGACTACGGGCTGCCGAGCATGCTGCTCTGAGGGGGGGGGTTTAGTATATGAGACGGGCTGCCGAGAATGCTGCTCTGAGGGGGGGGGTTAATGTAATGAGATGGGCTCCGAGCATGCTGCTTTGTGGGGGGGGGGTCAATGTAATGAGACTGGGCTCGCCGAGCATGCTATTCAGAGGGGGGGGGGGTTAATGTAATGAGATGGGCTGCCGAGCATGCTGCTTCTGAGGAGGAGGGTCTAATGTAATGAGGACTGGGCTGCGAGATGGTGCTTCTGCGGAGGGGGGTTAATGTATGAGACTGGGCTGCCGAGGCATGCAGCTTCTGAGGGGGGAGGGTTAATGTATGAGACTGGGCTGTGCCGAGCATGCTGCTTCTGAGGGGGGGTTAATGTAAATGAGACTGGCTGCGAGCATGCTGCTTTAGGAGGGTTAATGTAATGAGCTGGGTGCCGACATGCTATTCTGAGGGGGGGTTAATTGTTATTGAGCCTGAGGGCTGCGAGCATGCTGCGTCCTAAGGAGGGGTGTGTTGAATTATGGGGTGAAAAGAAGGAGAGTGCGGTGGTCTTTTTTTATCAAGGGACACGTATTTTACTTCGGAGTATTCCAACAGCTTATTGTTCAAAGTGCAACCAGCCAATTACAGGAAGCCGAAAAAGTATTTGATGCCTTAATCGAGCTTACTTGAAGCTTATTTTCTATTGTTAAGAGCCATAGATGATTCCAGTGTTTAATTTCGTTTTTATGAGGGGCTCATGATATTCTAATTATGAAGATTATTGTTGGCATATAATTTGCTTCGTAGTATAATGAAACTTCCTGGCATATATAGTTCTTATGACCAATTATTAACCTACAAAACTAGAATTACTCATTTATTTCCCGCGTCTGTTTTCTCAGATGGTTTGCGTGTGGCAGTACTAGGAGGCTCGTGGTCAGCGTTCTTGCTACTTGTACCTCGTCGGTGCTGCTTTTTATTGAATCTCGGTCAAAGTCAGCAGTGAAGTAGGGCCTGAAGATTTCATGGGTCATGTCATTGTGTTTTGCAAGTCAGCAGTGAATTAGGGCCTGAAGATTTACAGGGGTCATGACATTGTGTTTTTGAAGTCAGCAGTGAAGTAGGGCCTAAAGATTGACAGGGTTCATGACATTGGGTTTTGAACGTCGCAGTGAAGTGGGCCTGACGATTTACCGGGTCATGAAATTGTGTTATTAAAGGTCAGCAGTGAAGTAGGGCTGGAAGATTTACCAGGGGTAATGACATTGTGTTTTGAATGTCACCAGTGAAGTAAGGCCTGAGATTTACAGGGGTCATGACTTTGTGTTTTGAAAGTCAACAGTGAAGTAGGGCTGAAGATTTACAGGGGTCATGGACATGTGTTTGAAAGTCCGCAGTGAAGTAAGGCTGAAGATTTACAGGGGTCATGACATTGTGTTTTGAAAGTATCAGTTGAAGAAAGGGCCTGAAGTTTCCGGGGTCATGACATGTGTTTGAAAATATCGCTAATATCTATTTTAGGGCGCATTGTACTGTATGAGGAATTTACTAATAAGTCTGGTGCGTTTTATTTTATCAGATTGAACGACGAGCTGAATCATCCTTCTCATATCGAAATTGTAAAGACCTTGGATTAAAACTACTACCTGCTTCAACGGGGTGTACAGGTTGATATAATATCAGTACTAGTAGTTTAGGCGTAACCATATGTAGTAGAGGATAACCACATGTGTCTCATGACAGCTCAACCAAATCAGCTTCCAGTATTTATTAATTCAAAACTGTGAATCCAGATTTATAAGACGGCTAAAGCTGGAAAGTAGGAAAGTGGCCAATTAGTACTATTCTCAATATCTTGTTCACTTGAGTCCTTTTTGGTCTACTGGCCCTGAGGTAGTGAGTTCGAATCCCGATTAGGATATCAAAAACTGTAGGCAGATGTGGACGTCACTCACAAAGCTTCCATTAGAGCGGCATAAACCACGAGTGCATATATGGCATTGTGCCTGGGGTTGTGTACCGATATTCTGCAGTGAACTGCTGTGCAGACACGGGCTGTGGCCATATGGAAAAGAAAAGGAGATCCAGTTCCTCCTCACAAGGCTTGCTAGGATGCTCCATTCTTTACATCTTGATATGTGGTTTAAAAGCCAGTTCCGTTTCAGGCGGACTATGTTTATTACAAGCATGTAGAAGAGCAGTTATGCAAAGCTGCTGTGTGTTGTTAATATGATACTTAATAAACTTGTGTTAATATACAATATTTTATAATTGATAAGGTCGGCATAGAAACAAACGGTTTACTCAACACTCGCCACTTCTATTTCATAATAATACGTATTATAAAGATAACTTCAATCTTCCTTATAGCATATTATGGATATTCATCTTATGGACCTCATAAAGAGGGGAAAACTGTAATGAACCATGTAATTAATTCTCCGCGTGGTAGGTACATGTAATATTTCTTTGAGTCGCTAGACTTTCCATCTTAAAAGTTGCTGTTTTTCTAAATGCAGATAAACGCGTCAAGAAAACGCGGGATATTGCTATGGCGTAAAATTGTTTCGTTTGAATAAATAGTATCGACCTCAACTAAAGCTAATTAGTGTTCAATTTTGCGAGCTGGTGAGTTCCTAGCCAGTAGCCAGGATTTTCAAAATTACGGAGTTTGTTTTTCCTAATCAACTTATTGAATAATAGGGTAATAAGGGTAAGCAATTCAGTTCAACACCATGAGGTTTATGCAGTGTCCTACACTACTACTTACCTAAGATGAGGTTTTGGGCAGGGTGCCAACATACTACTTACCTAAGATGAGGTTTTGGCCAGGGTGCCAGAATTACTATACTTACCTAAGAAGAGGTTTTGACGGGTGCCAACACTATACTTAGACCTAAAACTGAGGTTTTGACAGGGTGCCCAACACTACTACTTACCTAAGATGAGGTTTTGGCAGGGTGCCAGAAATACTACTTCCCGAGATTGAGTTTGGGCAGGGTGCCAAACACTGTCACTGTCACTTGTACACTGTCGTCACTGTCGTCCTCATGATAGAGCTGAGGTGGCCGAATACTGGTCCGGCTGTGTTACTGAACAAGACATGTAAAACACCGATTAACTGGGAAAAGCATCCAGTTTAATTGGAGTTGGATTTTATTCTATTACAATATTATGTAAATAATAATTCTCGGGGGTCTATGGTAGAGGTGGCTCGTGGGTTTACACTCTATGGAACGATATCGGATATGCCGTATGATTTATAATATGGTGTACCTTGCTATTGGTAAATGGATCTTTGATTTGATCAAACTTATGTTTTTTGATTAATTAAATGACATGACTTCATTTGGGGTCTAGTTCCTTGTAAAAGGGACTATCATTGGGTAACTTTCTTTAAACGTGATATCCTAAATTTAATGCTAACAACTAGACGTCTTCTTTTAATTAGATGATTATAAGCTACCTGTATAAGGTACAGGTATTCAAGATGTCAGTAAATAATAATATTATCAAACTTACAAACCGACCTCATCATCGATCATAGGTTGTCCGTGTCATTCGCTTCCCTCTTTCGTCGGAGGGGGCATGAATTTTTTTTAAGCTTAAGATCTCTTTAAACTTTACTGGGTTTCTTTTTCGTGCGCTCCTCGCTTCTGAGTTCCAGGTCCTCTGAAAACAGCCTCATTTGAATTCGCTGATGTAAAACTAGAAGGCGTTTATGAGAAGAAGCATATGAGCACTGTTCACACTTGAATGGTCTTTCATTACTGTGAACTTTCTGATGTACGACTAGATTTCCTTTTATAGAAGAAGCATATGAGCATTCTGTACACTTGTAGGGTTTCTCCCCTGTGTGAATTCGCTGATGTCTATCTAGACTACCTTTATGAGTAAAAGCAAGCAAGCATTCCTTACACTTGTATGGTTTCTCACCAGTGTGAATTCGTTGATGTAAGTCTAGAGTGCCTTTCTGAGTAGAAGCATATGAGCAATGTTCACACTTGAATGGTCTTTCACCAGTGTGAATTTTCTGATGTTGGACTAGACCACTTTTTTGAGCACAAGCATATGAGCATTCCTTGCACTTGTGGGGCTTCTCACCAGTGTGAATTCGCTTATGTAAAACTAGATGATGTTTATAAGAACAAGCATATGAGCACTGTTCACACTCGAAAGGTTTTTCTTTAGTATGAACTCTCTGATGTTTCAGAAGATGTTTCAGAAGATGTTTCTGAAGAAGAGGTTCGGAGGAGGAAGAGAAGGAACAAACATTACATTCAAATGGTTTACCTTCATATGGGTTTTTTTTTGAATTGTTCTCTTTCTCTAAAATTCCAGAATAACTCATTTGCTTATTAGCTTTATTGTCGTTTTCTCGAGATCCGGTCTTGTCTTCAGCTGGACCACCCATTACAGATCCGGTCTCGTCTTTAGCTGGACCATTTATTACAGATCCGGTCACGCCTTCAGCTGGACCATCCATTACAGATCCGATTTCGTCTTCAGCCGGACCATCCATTACAGATACGGTCTCGTCTTCAGCAGGACCATCCATTACAGATCCGGTCTCGTCTTCAGCAGGACCATCGATTACAGATCCGGTCTTGCCTTCAGCCGGAGCATCCATTACAGATACGGTCTCGTCTTCAGCTGGACCATCCACTACAGATCCGGTCTCGTCTTCAGCAGGACCATTCATTACAGATCCGGTCTCGTCTTCAGCTGGACCATCGATTACAGATCCAGTCTCGTCTTCAGCTGGACCACACATTACAGATCCGGTCTCGTCTTCAGCAGGACCATTCATTACAGATCCGGTCTCGTCTTCAGCTGGACCATCGATTAAAGATCTGGTCTTGTCTTCAGCTGGACCATCCATTACAGATCCGGTCTCGTCTGTCGTTTGATCTGAAATGCATATGTTTCTTGAAATTTGGAAACAATTCATACATAAACTTAAAAACTATATTACATTTACAGTTATTTGTCAATAAATGTCTAAAGGTTTAAAGGTCTAAACTGATAATAACACGTTTTACTTTTAATTCAACGATCGCAAAATTGTTAACTCATTTACCCAATTTTTATTTTAAAAGGAGGCCTAGCCGATAGTATACATATCTCACCTGTTATCAGCTTTATATATTTTCTAGACACGTTGCAGGAAACATCATCAAACTGTAGTTCAAAGATCCCCCTCTGAAATAAGTGTAAATAATTTGCACTATCTTATTATGAATATTGTCATTAAAAATTGATTAGGTTTCAAGCCAGTTGCCTGGACAACAAGTGGGATAAAATGGTCTCACACTGCTTTAAACCAAAAGTACTTAATATTATTATTATTGTGCATACCTTAACGCGGCGTAGGATGGTTGCTTGGTACTCTATCTTATCCCGAAAAGGATTAGCAGTCACCTGCTGCCCAACTGTCAAACCCAAATCCTGCGGAGTGAAAATCTATTCACTAGAACTATAATGTATAAAACAAGGTATACTACTAGAGAGCGTCATGTTTAAGAAAAACGTGCAAAATAATTTTGTGCAAGAAAATGTGCACAATAATTTTGGGGGTCCATGTCGTTATTATTTTTAGGTACAAACTAATTAATAACTCTCTAGATGGTCTAGATATTGCAACATTTACCTACTAAGCCTCTAAAATAATTCAACTGTCATATTTTATGAAACCTTATTAAAAAATTATAGCGCTAGCAATTATAAACAAACCTTCTCATCAGTATCACAGCCATGATTTCTTCCTATTTTATCACGGTCAGCCATGGACTTAAGCTTCAAAATAATAAAGTCAGTATTATATTATATGAGCTGTATAACCATGAAATTACAAGTCATTTACATCATAAGACAGTGGAGGGAAATGTGGCAGGAAAGCAGGCTTGATATCACATGCCCCAATGAGAGTACTGCAGACAATATAGCTCACACAACGAACATGAAATGTCTAACTGCATGTTTTGCTCTAGAAGTTCATACATTTATAGAGATTTTACCGGCGTATCCTCTAAAATCACCTAATTTGTTCAATTTTAGGGAGGGGCGCTAACAAGGGGATGGATTTTCGGCGGGGCGCCAACAGGCAATGCTACGCCTCTAGCCACAAGCAGTGCATGTTTTCAGTACATCTGATTTAAAAGGCATAGTTTACAGAACACAATTTCCACACAGTAATCGTGTGTCTTAACAACAGGTGGTAACAATTAGTGTTCAATGTCTGTCGAGACTCTAAAATAAATCTCTCAAAATTGGGGTGAACAAGATTTGCAAGCATAAGCATCATATCAATAATCTAACAAAAGATAATAGTGAGACTAAACTGATGTTCTTTTTAAAAGATTCTTCTCTTTATGAATTCGTTGGTGTTTTTTAAGATTTGATTAAGAAGGGCTGGCGTATTCACAGTCGTTGCATTTGAAGGGTTTCTCCCTTGTATGAATTCGCTGATGTTGGACTAGACTACCTTTTTGAGTGAAAGCAGATGAGCATTCTTTGCACTTGTAGGGTTTCTCACCTGTGTGAATTTGCTGATGCAAGTGTAGTTTTTGTTTTTGAGAAAATGCATATGAGCACTGTTCACATTTGAATGGTTTTTCATTAGTGTGTATTCTCTGATGGTTCACTAAATTACCTTTTCGAGAACTAGCATATGAGCACTGTTCACACTTGTAGGGTTTCTCCCCTGTGTGAATTCTCTGATGGTTAACTAAACTACCTTTTCGAGAACTAGTATAGGAGCACTCCTTGCATTTGTAGGGTTTCACACCTGTGTGAATTTGCTGATGTTGCACTAGATTATATTTTCGTGAATAAGCAGATGAGCACTGTTCACATTTGAATGGTTTTTCTTTAGTGTGAACTTTCTGATGTTTCAGAAAAAGAGGTTCGTTGGAGCAAGAAAAGGAACAAACATCACATTTAAAAGGTTCACTTCTATGCAGGGTATTCTTTGAATTGTCCTCTTTTTCTGATATTCCAGAAGAACTCAATAGCTCATTAGAATTTATCCTTTTACTAGCCACATCCTCATGATGTTCTTTAATATGTTTAATAAAGAACTCATCGTAAAGGAAATGAGCTTCACATGTGGGACAAATTAAACCATGTGACTTCCCGTTGACTTCCTGTAGCTCAGTCTTTATCTCCTTCTTGATAACATGGTCCAGAATCTCAGTCTTGACTTCAACTTTAACAGTTTGTGATCTTGTTTCCCGATTTGACATAGAAATCTTTCCTGCAAACAGATTCAAGAAGTTAGAATTACATCAAATACTAGTATTTAAAAGAGTAAAAACTTTACTTATCCTGCTGGTCACAATAAAGCGTTGAATCATATTCCTTTGGATGGTTTCACAATACAGTTCAAACAATCTATTAAGCTATTTTGAAGGCCAGGGAAGCAGGGAAACCCCCTGCAGAACAAACTCGTGGTTTTAAACACTAAATCTAAAAATGTATAATAGTATTAAAAACTCATCTTCAGATTACAAAATAATATCTTCATTAAATTATGAAACATACAAGCATTAACAAAAACTTTAAAAAGTAACGCCCCGTTGTTTAATATTTAACCATTACTAGCAGTTAATCTGAGACCGGGGGGGGGGGGGGGGGGGCTCGGGGGGGGGGGGGGGGGGGGGGGGGATCAGGTACCAAGTGCCGGACTTCACGTTGGTGGGTGGGTCATTTTTTCTCCCAAAAACACAGTTAGTACATGGTACTAACTGGTGGGTCTACTGCCCATTTCCCAGAAAAACAGTTAGTACAGTACATGGTACCAAGGGGTTCATTTTTTGAGTGTTCAACCCCATAAAAACCCATTTTACCTCAAATTTCAATTTTGGGGGTGGTTTTTGAGGTTTTTTGAGTTTTTTTTGGGGTTTTTTGTAATTTTTAAAATTCTTTTTGTAACTTTTTATATAATTCATTAATTCGACTACATTGAAAACAAAACCCCTACTAAATAGTGGGTATAATTTGCCCATTTCCAATGTTTAATGAGCTGCTTAAAGCAATTTATGGTTGGGTATCTTATTTTATATACCCAGACTCAGTTATTACTGTGATTTCTCAACAGTTAGTACCGCAAAAGCCGGCAAAAGGGGGTGGGTGTCCTAAATATTATCCGAAAAAACAGTTAGTACCGCAAAGGAGGTGGGTGTGTCTAGTGAAAAATATCCAAAGCTACACTTAGTCGACGTGATGTCCGACACTTGGTACCCGAACCCCCCCCCCCCCCCCCCCCCCCCCGTCTTAGATCCCCCTACATAGGGCCCAAGCAGTGCATGTTATCCACACAGTGATAACGCGAACGTGGTAACAATTACTGTTCAATGTCTGTCTCGGAGACTCTTAAACAAATATTTCAAATTTAGGGTGGACTATACAGGGGGCCAAGGGCCAAAAGTCAGTGACAGTATTCAAACATTGGGACTTACACTTCCACCGTGTTTTACATTTTATAGATGTTGCTTTGCAGTCTGCAGACCACATACTGTACCTACTTGTTCGAGGATTCCGTCACAAAAATTTTAAAATTCGATTTTTGGGGGCCACACCCAATCAACATTGAATTGCTTAAACTCGTCTTTGTGAACATGTTAGAGACTCCGTTGTAACATATTGCAATAGGTCATTTAATCTGGAATATAATCTGAAAAGATGGTTTCTAAACGGATTCGAAATGACGAAGTTATCAAGCAATTTGTTTATCTCGTTAGAAGAATTGATTGGGTATTCAATGATTACCTAATTACGACACCGTAATTGGGCTCTCTACAAGATTCCCATAATGCGGATCTAGCCTCAACCCAATCACCTAATCACACCTAATGAAAAAACTCGTTATGCTTCACATCTCGATCATCTGAGAAGTTAGAAAGCTAGAACTATCATTTTGTCAGAACAAACGTAATTCAAATGGCCAAACAATTTAATAAAACTTGGCTCGATCCCACTATGGTCCAAACTATCAAATGAATGTGAAAATTAACCTTTATTTCTTCATATGAAACAAATGAACGCGAATATTTTTTGAGTTGACAAATTCCTCGAACCAGTGGTGGTAGTAAGGCATACCAAAAAGAATTATTTCAATTGGGCACTCAGTAACTGAGCTATTAAGGCCAACGTATGGGTACTGACTTTTGCCCCCCCCCCCCTCCTGTATTTACAAGCAAGAGCATCAATAATCTAACAAAAGTTAATCGTGAGACTACACTGATCTTCTTTTTTTAACGTTTCTTCTCAGTATGAATTCGTTGATGGGATTCTTCCTAAAAATGCTGAATTCGCTGATGTTGGAGTAAATTATATTTCCGAGAACAAGCATATGAGCATTCCTCGCACTTGTAGGGTTTCTCTCCGGTGTGAATTCGTTGATGATGTATAAGATTTGATTTAGAAGAACTTGTGTATTTACAATCGCTGCATTTGTAGGGATTGTCCCCTGTGTGAATTCGCTGATGTTGGATTAGATTAGATTTTCGAGAACAAGCATATGAGCATCCCTCGCACTTGTAGGGTTTCTCACCAGTGTGAATTCGTTGATGTATGATAAGATCATGTTTCTTAATACAACCATATGAGCATTCCTTGCACTTGAAGGGTTTCTCACCTGTGTGAATTTTCTGATGTTTAACTAGACTACCTTTTTCAGTGAAAGCAAATGAGCATTCCTCGCACTTGTATGGTTTCTCACCAGTGTGAATTCTCTGATGTTTAACTAGACTACCTTTTTGAGTGAAAGCAAATGAGCATTCCTCGCACTTGTAGGGTTTCTCACCAGTGTGAATTCGTTGATGTAAGTCTAGAGTGCCTTTCTGAGAAGAAGCATATGAGCAATGTTCACACTTGAATGGTCTTTCACCAGTGTGAACTCTCTGATGTTCGACTAGACTACTTTTTTGAGCACAAGCATATGAGCATTCCTTGCACTTGTGGGGCTTCTCACCGGTGTGAATTCGCTGATGTAGAACTAGATGATGGTTATAAGAACAAGCATATGAGCACTGTTCACACTCGAAAGGTTTTTCTTTAGTATGAACTCTCTGATATTTCAGAAGATGTTTCAGAAGATGTTTCAGAAGAAGAGGTTCGGAGGAGGAAGAAAAGGAACAAACATTACATTCAAATGGTTTACGTTCATAGGGGTTTTTTTTTGAATTGTTCTCTTTCTCTAAAATTCCAGAATAACTCATTTGCTTATTAGCTTTATTGTCGTTTTTTCGAGATCCGGTCTTGTCTTCAGCTGGACCACCCAATACAGATCCGGTCTTGTCTTCAGCTGGACCACCCATTACAGACCCGGTCTTGTCTTCAGCTGGACCACCCATTACTGATCCGGTCTTGTCTTCAGCTGGACCACCCATTACAGATCCGGTCTTGTCTTCAGCTGGACCACCCATTACAGATACGGTCTCGTCTTCAGCTGGACAATCCATTACAGATCCGGTCTCGTCTTCAACAGGACCATTCATTACAGATCCGGTCTCGTCTTCAGCTGGACCATCGATTACAGATCCAGTCTCGTCTTCAGCTGGACCACACATTACAGATCCGGTCTTGTCTTCAGCTGGACCAACCATTAAAGATCCGGTCTTGTCTTCAGCTGGACCATCCATTACAGATCCGGTATCGTCTGCCGTTTGATCTGAAATGCATATGTTTCTTGAAATTTGGAAACAATTCTGAATACATAAACTTAAAAACTATATTACATTTACAGTTATTTGTCAATAAAGGTCTAAACTGATAATAACACGTTTTACTTTTAATTCATTGATCGCAAAATTGTTAACTCATAATTTACCCAATATTTATTTTAAAAGGAGGCCTAGCCGATAGTATAAATATGTCACCTGTTATCAGCTTTATATATTTTCTAGACACGTTGCAGCAAACATCATCGAACTGTAGTTCAAAGATCCCCCTCTGAAATAAGTGTAAATAATTAGCACTATCTTATTATGAATATTGTCATTAAAAATTGGTTAGGTTTCAAGCCAGTCGCCTGGACAACAAGTGGAATAAAATGGTCTCACAAAAAGTCTCACAAAAAGTACTTAATATTATTATTATTGTGCATACCTTAACGCGGCGTAGGATGGTTGCTTGGTACTCTATCTTATCCCGAAAAGGATTAGCAGTCACCTGCTGCCCAACTGTCAAACCCAAATCCTGCGGAGTGAAAATCTATTCACTAGAACTATAATGTATAAAACAAGGTATACTACTAGAGAGCGTCATGTTTAAGAAAAACGTGCAAAATAATTTTGTTCAAGAAAATGTGCACAATAATTTTGGGGGTCCATCAGTCCATGTTGTTATTATTTTTAGGTACAAACTAATTAATAACTCTCTAGATGGTCTAGATATCGCAACATTTACCTACTAAGCCTCTAAAATAATTCAACTGTCATATTTTACCAAACTTTATTATAAAATTATAGCGCTAGCAATGATAAACAAACCTTCTCATCAGTATCACAGCTATGATTTCTCCCCATTTTGTCACAGTCAGCCATGGACTTAAGCTTCAAAATAACAAAGTCAGTATTATATTATATGAGCTGTATGACCAGGAAATTACAAGTCATTTACATCATAAGACAGTCGAGGCAAATGTGGCAGGAAAGCAGGCTTGAGATCACATGCCCCAATGAGAGTACTGCAGACAATAGCTCACACAACGAGCATGAAATGTCTATTACTACGATCACGAGGACGTGCTGATTTAAACAATAATTTAATGGAAATACTTTAAGCATATTACCAATGGAAAGTCTCACCATGTTCTAGAGTCTACATCATCCATTTAAACAACAAAAGGATGCTATATATCACAGAATGACTGTGAAGGCACATAATATGTTTGTTTAAAAAATGATGTTGCTGAATTTTGCTTTGAAACTGTACTTACTCGTATGTGTGGAATTGAACTTAGATTCATGATAATATGTAAAAATTAAAATTTTGACATACAATGTTTGGTAATATGAGCAGCGATATGTTCAATAAATCTCCCGATTTGACATGGAAATCTTTCCTGTGATCAGATTCAAGAAGTTAGAATTACATTAAATACAAGTAATTAATAATAATAATAATAAAATTTGGTAGCTTAAACACAAACTCTAAGCCCAGTGGATAAACCACAAAACTTATGCTCTATTGTGTGAAACAAAGATACTAGATCAAGATAACTATCAAGGAGTGTATGCATAGGACATAAAAAGTTTTGGAACGAAGATGACATGCTTATGAAGCGAGCTAACAGTCTAATTGCTAATAAGTTCAAAAAGATCATGACATTAGGTTGCATCCTAAACAGTTTAAGCAAATAACATAAAGTTATAATGTCAATTAATCGCTCATGCCATAACTTTTCTTAAACAGGTGAGTTTTTAATAATGTTTTGAACAGATCAACATCAGAACAAGTCTTAATTTCAATTGGTAGTTGGTTCCAGATTTTCGGAGCAACAGTCTGAAACGCTCTTGGGTGCGATCTTGTAGATCCGACAGGTAGGTGTAAGGAGGAAGTTCTTCTGCTACTCGAACTAACAAATGTTACTAGATCACACAGATATGCAGGAGCAACACCATTGACTGCTTTGAAAATCAGTAAACATAACTTAAACTCAATCCTTTCCTTCACCTTGAGCCAATGAAGGGATTTGAGCTTCTCCTCGACTGAGTCTCTCTTCTTTAATCCAAAAACCAGACGGCATGCTCGGTTCTGAATGTTCTGCAGCTGCGTAATTGAGGCTTGACTACAACCATAGTAAAGCGCATTGCAGTAGTCTAGCGATGAGATTACAATTGCTTGAGTCAGTGTTCCCATCTGTTTGGTTGTGAGGAATGTTTTCATCTTAGCAAGGTCTCTTAGTTTCAGAAAACACGATGTTTTAAGTTGCTTGATTTGCTCACCAAAGTTTAGTTGAGAGTCGAGACGAAATCCGAGGTTCTTTGCAACAGGTGACAGCCTGACACACGTCTCAGAGTTAACAAACACGCCCCCTATAGACAGCTGCTGGAGAACAAGCGGTGTCCCAAAAACAAGAATCTCAGTTTTTCCTGCATTGAGCTGTAGATAATGTTTTTTCATCCAGTCATTAATTTCTTGGAAACATTTGGGAACATCGTTGATAAGGACGGTGGGCTCCTCGTTTGGCTTGAAACTTTTATACAGCTGATGATCGTCGGCGTAACCCTGGATGGAGAAGTTCAAATCATGTGCTGCTGAGTACAAAGAGCGAATGTAGATGTTGAACAGGACCGGACCCAGCACAGAGCCCTGTGGGACTCCAAACTTAATCACTATCTCATAAGATTCCTCATTTCCAACTTTAATCGTTTGACATCTACCTGTGAGGAAGCTGCTGAACCATTTCCAAGCTGTCCCTGTTATTCCCAACTCATTTCTGAGGATGTTCAGTAGTTTGCAGTGGTCAACTGTATCAAAATTATACGAGTATTTAAAACAGTAACAACTTTTCTTATCACATTAAAGACTTAAATCATATACCTTTGGATGGTTTCATAATCCAAAAATCTTTTATTAAGCTATTTCGAAGGGGGCAGGGAAACACTCTGCAGGACAAAATCACGGTTCTAAAGACTAAATCTAAAAATCGATAATTTGTATAAATTCATCTCAAGATTACAAAATAATATCTTTACTTTGCAATAAATTATGAAACATAAAAGCATTAATAAAAACTTTAAAAAGTAACGCCACATTGTCTAATATAACCATTACCGGCTGTTAATGTTACCGGCTGTAAATGTTACGTCCCCCTGCATAGGGCCCAAGCAGTGTATGTTCCTGCAGTACATCTGAATTAAAAGGCATAGTTTACAGAACACAATTTCCACACAATAATCGTGTGTCTTAACAATTACAGGTGGTAACAATTACTGTTCAATGTCTGTCGAGACTCTAGAATAAATCTCTCAAAATTGGGGTGAACAAGATTTGCAAGCAAGAGCATCAATAATCTAAAAAACAATAGTGAGACTACACTTAAAACTGATCTTCTTTTCTAACGTTTCTTCTCATTATGAATTCGTTGGTGTTTTATAAGATTTGATTTAGAAGGGCTGTCGTATTCAAGTCACTGCGTTTGTAAGGCTTCACACCTGTGTGAATTCAATGATGTTGGACTAGATTACCTTTTTGAGAACTAGCAAATGAGCACTGTTCACACTTGAAGGGTTTCTCACCTGTGTGAATTCGCTGATGTTTCACTAGATTACCTTTCAGAGAACAAGCATATGAGCACTGTTCACACTTGAATGGTCTTTCATTAGTGTGAACTTTCTGATGTTGGACTAGATTACATTTTATAGAAGAAGCATATGAGCATTCTGTACACTTGTAGGGTTTCTCACCTGTGTGAATTTTCTGATGTTTAACTAGACTACCTTTTTGAGTGAAAGCAAATGAACATTCCTCGCACTTGTAGGGTTTCTCACCGGTGTGGATTCGCTGATGTAAGACTAGATCACCTTTTCGAGAACAAGCATATGAGCAATGTTCACACTTGAAGGGTTTCTCACCTGTGTGAATTCGCTGATGTTGGACTAGATTACATTTTAGAGAAGAAGCATATGAGCATTCTTTACACTTGAAGGGTTTCTCACTGGTGTGAATTCTCTGATGTTTAACTAGACTACCTTTTTGAGTGAAAGCAAATGAGCATACATCACACTTGTAGGGTTTCTCACCGGTGTGAATTCGTTGATGTAAGACTAGATTACATTTTTGAGAACTAGCATATGAGCATTCTTTACACTTGTAGGGTTTCTCTCCTGTGTGAATTTTCTGATGTTTAACTAGACTACCTTTTTGAGTGAAAGCAAATGAGCATTCCTCGCACTTGTAGGGTTTCTCACCTGTGTGGATTCGCTGATGTAAGACTAGATCACCTTTTCGAGAACAGGCATATGAGCAATGTTCACACTTGTAGGGTTTCTCACCGGTGTGAATTCGTTGATGATGAATAAGATTTGATTTAGAAGAGCTTGTGTATTTACAATCGCTGCATTTGTAGGGATTGTACCCTGTGTGAATTCGCTGATGTCGGATTAGATTACATTTTCGAGAATAAGCAGATGAGCACTGTTCACATTTGAATGGCTTTTCATTAGTATGAACTCTCTAATGTTTCAGAAGATGAGATTCGTAGGAGCAAGAAAAGGAACAAACATCACATTTAAAAGGTTCACTTCTATGCAGGGTATTCTTTGAATTGTTCTCTTTTTCTGATATTCCAGAAGAACTCAATAGCTTATTAGAATTCATCTTTTCACCAGCCATATCCTCGTGGTGTTCTTTAATATGCTCCATAAAGAACTCATCGTAAAGGAAATGAGCTTTACATGTGGGACAAATAAAACCATGAGACTTCCCGTTGACTTCCTGTAGCTCAGTCTTTATCTCCTTTTTGATAACATGGTCCAGAATCTCAGTCTTCACTTCATCTTTTACAGATTGTGATCTTGTGTCCCGATTTGACATGGAAATATTTCCTGTGAACAGATTCAAAAAGTTAGAATTACACCAAATACTAGTATTAAAAGAGTAAACTTACTTATCAAAATAAAGAGTTGAATCATATTCCTTTGGATGGAATATGCTTCATATGATTCTGACTATTCTTTACATTATATCCCACAGTCATATATGGGCAATTTCATGAAACATGAACAAGGAGGGAAAAAAATAAATTTCAGTTATGGCACTAGCTTTGATTGGAGTCTGAAAGAGAAGATTATAAACTGTTAGACACAAAAAACCGCTTATAAATATCTCACTTCGTTTCTGTGTTATCGCGTTTTCAAAATACCCATAAATTGTCATGTTTTACAGGCTAAAACTACTCTATAATAAAAGCTGTTTACTAAAAAGAGATTGTTGTAATATTCATTAATTCTTGATCTGTAAAGGTGCATACCACTTCACTGAAGCTGTATGCAAAATTTGGGACTCAAAATTTAAGCAGATTCGGAGCAATGCTATTCTACTTTCTCCTGTTTTTAGTGTAAATTACTATACATAAAAAACAAAAAAGTTTTCTGCTGGCCACATTTCATGTTATTTCTTGCTGAAATCTTGCTAAAACAAGCTAACTCTGATGTCAAGACATAATGTACTTGTTTATTTAGATCCATAGATATCAGATCATGTCAATACCAGCGTCAAGTAAGTTACATGTCAAGTAATTTACGTGTCAAGTAATTTACACATATGCTTTTTATTCAGAAATAGTAGTAAAACACAACAAGTAACGATTGTCAAACAGAATAAAAGTTATTTAAAAGTGATAATAGATTGGTTCTGGTCAGAATTTCATTAAAGAAATCTATAAAAATGGTTTAAAATGGTTAAAAATTGACTTTTCGAAAATATAATATAAATAATACTTTACTTTACAGAAAATCCAGTGGCCTGCTTGAACACAAATTTTTGAGCTGGGAAACATTCGTACATTTACGCCCACCTACCTACTCTGTATAACTGGGCTAACTGTGGACCCAATCAGTGGATCAATCAACCAATTAAGGGGGCCGGGGGGTCTTCATCAAAATTCCCTCGAAATTGACTTTTTAGTTGTTTCTGATAGAAGGGAGTGATATCTATCAGATGCTTTTGGTCCCATGGAAAAATATTATTCCTAGCCGAAATTATTGTCGGTCAAAGATCAGCACTTATGTGTAATTGTATTGCGCGAGCGATTTTCAATCATGCGTCCTGAAAATCGAGTCTAAAAATCTATTTTCTCCTACATGTTTTGAGCAATCACCCTGAAACTTTCAGGATATGTTCTAGAGATAATTTAAAAGAGATGAGCCAAACAGAATTTTGAGATAGGCCTTTAAACATATTTCATTCGATTTTGAAAATCTTCAACCTCGTTTTTTGACGATTTTTTGAGGTCCAAGATTTTCAAAAATTGAAAATCGCTCGCACAATACAATTACACATAAGCGCTGACATTTGACCGATAATAATTTCGTCTAGGAACAATATTTTTCCATGGGACCAAAAGCATCTGATAGATATCACTCCCCTCTATTAGAAACAACTATAAAGTCAATTTCGAGAAAATTTTGATGAAGGCCCCCCCGGCCCCCTTAATTGGCTAATGATAAACTGATATATCATTATTAATCATATATTACATAGTTCATACACTTAGCAAACGAATTAAAGACAAAGGGGCAGCTTTAAACAGTTAAAATCAAAGGATTGTGTAACAGTGTAAACTACTTGACACAAAAGAGTAACTTACTTTACAAGGAAAAAAGGCTTCTACAGAACACAGCTATTAACCATTTACCAAAACAAACCCTTTCCAGTACAGGCAAGACATTTGCCAGTGTGCATGAAAAATATTTAAATGTTTATTCTCACACCTGGGCACGAAATGAGATTTCAATACACGTTGGTCAGGAATGTCAATTTGTGCCCTGTAATTTACTTTACATTTTCAAACGTGCCTCACTCAAAAGCCATAGCAGTTGGAGTAAAAATCTTAATATAGCTGTGTGTGGAGTACATAAGAGATGTTTCATGCAATTTATCATGATTCTGTTATGTTTGTGTAATGCTTGAGAGTCAGAATAAGGCCAAATTTTTGTGCAAAGTGTAATTTACTTTACGTGAAATCGCCCATATCTAAGTTTAGCGAATTTTAATCTCCATTTGTATTTTAAGCAGTGAAAGACAAAATAAAAACTGTCAGAACCCAATAACTTTATTTAAAAAAACAATAAATTAGCAATTAAACTTCAGGTACATCTCTGTAAAAGCAATTAACTTAACAAATACCAAAATTGGTCACAGGATACTCCGCAAATAATTAATAAGGGGTGCTCCAACTAGACACCGCTGTGCCAAACGTTAACCAAATTATCATAAAATGAGCAGGTAGCAACAAACCCCTGGTCTAACCAATCTGCCCCATACGCAAGGGATGTGTGTCCTGTGTAGGTCTGTGCTACAGCAAACTCTGTCAAGTCCGCGATATGAAACCCACTGTGCATGCCTGCTATAAGCGCATGCATATTGTCAGGACTGCGCTTGATGCGCCACACACCACCACCTACACTGACAGTTCTGAGGGGTTGTTTAAAGTTCCTGGTATCCCACTCAACGACCAACTCATCATAACTTCCGGATAATATCCGGTTAAGAGATACAGGATCAGGGGATATGCAGCACACCCCCATGGTGTGGTATCGTGAGGTGGAGACAGTGTGAGGGGTGCGCAGGTCATGGCACTTCAACAAACAGTCGTCTCCCCCGCTGTAAACCAGGTTTACATCGTGCCTGTCAAGCGCTAAACCCCATACTTCAGCGCCCCAACCCTGCGCACCATGTGCTGCCTCTATCTTCATTGAAATTTCCAAACTATCTGGGTTTATTGAGTAGATGATTCCAGCAGTATCACTGGTGACAACAGTATTAGAACTCCCGTTAACAGCCAGTAAAATATCACTTGACACATTAGTAACTTTGCACTCACTAAACGCACAGTCCTTATCAACATCAATCATGCGCAACTCGCCTGAAGCGCATGCTGCCAACAAACATCCCTCATCTCTCCACCACAGATCCAATACTCCCCCCGTTTCTAGGACTGATGATACTTTAACAGACTTCTCCTGGAAGTCTAGAATGGAGACGTTACCGTGTCTTTCTGTTCCGCTAGAGTCTAGTTGGTATGTTGCGCAAGCAAACTTGGTTTGGTCACCTGGTTTTGTTTCGATGCTGTCTGCACTGTACTTTGTTTTGTGCGAGGCTATCATCTTTATCTAGATTAAGGGAACTAAGGGATCGAATTTTCAGTTTTGACATTTTTATAATTTATTTGATATTGTAGTTCCTACTAGTGAAACAAGAGTGATAATATGAATGTGAAATAAAATGGTTTACAATGTGTATTATAAGCTGCACTGTTTAATAAATTAGGGGGTCACTGAAACATTACATCAAATGTATAATTTACACCAAAACGCTCTCAAATAAAGCATGGTCTATGCTAGTAAAAAGTTACAAAAGGTTCTACACAGAACATAAACCTTCAAACAAACAATAAATCTATAAATAAACATTAAAAACCCGAGAAAGTCTCAATTTCAGTGAGGTTGAGGCACGTGACCATCCACATAAAAGTTCCTAGTAATCCTGGGTATCTGCACCGTAATCCCATCCAACTTCCTCTCCAACACAATCTGACATGACAGTCTACTGGTCTCCCTGAGCTCCGGAGCCATGTCCAACATGTCCTCCTCGTCCTCACTCGCCTCCTCCAACATATCACAGTACTCACCCTCCACATACACGTGACACGTGCAACACGCCAGGCTCGCTTCACACGCGCCCTCTATCTCAATATCGTGCTTGTGCGCGAGGTACATGACGTTATCTCCTGTCCGTCCTGCTATTGTCCGGACTGTTCCGTCTCGGAGTATATAGTTTATCCGGACTGTTTCCTCCTCGGACTCGGGTTCTGGCAGGTGTTCGTGGAATGCGGTATGTGTGGTATGTAGATGTCGTAATGTAGCCTGCTGTAATCTGATACCTGTATATACCTTTCCGGGGATTGTAGATAAAAACCTGGATATATTACAGTTAGGTAGAACTGGTGGTGGAGTGGAACCTGATAATATGACTCTGTCACGTGAGTGACGTGCTGGTCGGAGAAGCTTTAGAAGAGGTCGGGCACCGGGGCTGGTTCGGGAGTGATGACGTAGACAGATCATGAGTACATACACTACCGCCTGTAATGGAGTGTTATGTTATGTATCCTGTACACGCGGTGTGTGTGTGTACTGAGTAGCCAATGACTAGACCCATTGATTAGATTCAGTATCTGTTGTGTTACACTGAGCTTTACATTATATTATCATAATTATTGCTGTTAAGGCTTTGTGTTAAGGCGGTTAGTTTAGCAACAGTGGGGATAGTTGTTATAGACTTCCTGCTCACAATGGTGTTTTTAGCTGAGATTATAATAATATTACATAATATGCACATTATTCATGTAGCTCCAATCATTGTTGAAGCATGTACGGGATTGCATATTAAATTATTGGCATAATGTTATGTTGGCCACACGTACAGGAATCTTGATTTCGGAATCACGAGAATGCGAACACTGTATACTTGGCAATGATAACTTAGTGAGCTACTCGGGAAATTAATAAAGTATGTAACTTAATCCGTAATATTGTTGATGCATCATGTGAGTTTACCCTGGCTAGTTGCTACGCTGTTTGTTATGTATTGATTCTATGTATTGTTATATTGTGTAAGTTACCATAGATTAACTTAAAGTTGAAGTTTAATGATAATTAAGTGAATTAAGTTGGAGATCTTTACTCATTCAAATTGCCATAATTTTTCATTTGAGTAACACGAATTTTAATTAGCTACTTGGTCATTTAACTTTTAAAATTATAAAGAAATCAGTGAAACGAGGTAGATTTTAACAAAGTTCAATACAAAAATAAGTAACAAGGAGTTGCTAAGTATCAAATCGACGAATACACGAAACACGGAAGAGATAGGATAATGCCATGTGAACGAATTAACAAAATATTTCACTTTCACTTCATAAAATACTTCATTTTCAATCTTTCACTAACATTACTCACGTCGGGCACTAAAAAAAGTGCAACACATCTTCATCTTTACATACATTGCTAAAACCTAGTCCTATCTGGTAAGGTGATCCATGTAACTCCCCTTCCTCTTCAGCATAATTCACATTACTTCCCTTCCTCTTCAGCATAATTCACATAACTCCCATTCCTTATAAGCATTATTCACATAACTCCCATTCCTTATCAGCATAATTCACATAGCTCCCATTTGCATTCCTCATATTATAATTATCATAATCGCTTAAAATCCTCCATTTTATTACCATAACATGCGGTAAAGTCGTCCCAAAAGTATGTTTTTGTTGATATTATTGGAATCATTATTAGATTAAATGAGGAAATAATTTCAACAGTTTAAAAGGAAAATGGTGTGTTTAAGTTCTTGACAGTTCAAAAGTGTTCGGTACGTGATCATCAAACCGGTGTTTTCCATAATATTTTCATTTCCGGTTAGCCACGACCGAGAGATATGCTGGTAATTAACACTATGTCTCATATTATAACCAAGAGCGTGTGTATTATTATAACAGTGTAGTGTCACATTGGGTTGCTATATATCTGCCAATTTCACCAGAGACGCACTGCAATGTTGGCAACAGTCACGTGAATATTCAGCCGATCATTTGTGTTATTGTGGTGTGATCTTATTCGTGTACCATGATCAATGATCATTAGGTCAGGGTTGAGTTTTAAAGTTTTGCCATCCTTGCGATTTCGAGTAATTATTTGCGATTTCCATTCATAATAAGATGGAAAACCACTTTTAACATTTTATGAGACTGATGGTATTAAAATATCTTTAAAAAATAAAATTTAGGATTTGACTGTTCCTGAGAAGAGAACTTATAATGTTGAAAAAAACTGTGAACTGTCAGTTTAATAAACGAACTTAAACACCCCATTTACTTCCTTTGAAAACAATTCATCATCATTTTTAACAATATCACCGCGTTATATTAAGTTTACTTCAAAAAAATTGGGATCTAAAATAAACATTAAACAGATCATTGAAAAAGACAAGTTATTGGGAAGTTCCGGAAATTTCACACACTTAAAATTAGCCAAAAAAAGCGAGTCCAAGCCCGTGCCTCTAGAGTGTTAACAGTAGAAATATAATGATATAACTAATATATTACAACTATCTAAGTAGAAACATCGTACAAACGATTAAGAGAGTTTTAAACTGCAAATAATATACAAGAGCCAAATTCCTGCAAGAGCCAAATTCCTGCAAGATTCACATTCCTGCGAAGGACTGATTTAACCAAGCCACTCAATTGAGATATCATTGTTCATGATATTTAAAAACCGCAGCTTATTTGTGATCTCCCTTACATTGGGAAATACAACACTGCACAATCCATCGACAACAATCTATTATATCTAGATTTTCTCCGAACTCATTATCAAAACCTTTACAAAAACTATGTATCAGCATCAAGATATTTATTATGGCTTTTATCATTAAACCATATTTATACTCTCTCATTAAATAAAAATATGAACGTTGCCAATGCGATTTATATCAGTATTACATAGAAAGTATAAAACAAATTGCACAGTACAATGGTAGGGATAGCTAAATGACTAGAAACTAACATTTCATTTAAAAATCGAAGGCTGATTTATTATTTTTTGCTTGGACATGAGGATGGCAGAAGCAGATTTGGATCTGGAATGTCCCTTCTTGAATCCCTCGCCCGACTCCAAGTCTCCCTTGTCAGTAGTATCACTGCACTTGTTGATCTCCTGGCGCGCAAGCCGCGCCACAAATATCATCAGGACAAGACTTATAAGGAGTTGAAAGGAAAAGAGAATGTAACTCTCACCGTCGTTACTCACAACATCCTTTATACTCCGCAAGGTAGTTCCAAAATAAGTGTTCAGTGCCTGAGTGGGCAGGAGGCCGATGCACGTTGCGAACGTGTACTTAAAAATGCTAATATCAGTGAGGGCGAACACACCGTTTTGGAATCCGAAGGGCAGCGGAGTTAGTCTAAAGAGTGCGATCACCTTAACACCGTTCTTTCCCTCGATAATCCTGAGCATGGGGTTTATGAGGGCTGCATCGTCACCATCAGATAAAAGCCGTTCAATACATCCGGGTAAGCACTTCCGTATCAGGACAAACGCAATGACGGACCCGACCGTAACGGAGATGAAGATTATGAGCATGCCCAGCCAGAAACCGTACATGTAGCCAGCCGCTATGTTGAGGATGAGGTACCCGAAGGAGCCCGGCAGGGAGATGATGGTGAAGAGAACTACGAAGATTATTCCGCTCTGCCATCTTGGTAACGCGTCCAGCCAGTTCAAGAAATCCTGTAAACAGTTTTGTTGTAATATTGAGTCTAAACTTACCGATGGTTATCACGGGGGGGGGGGGGGGGGGGGGGTCCGGCGGGTTATCATGATACTAACCAGAATTGGTTACCATATTTTTTACGAATACTTTCGACTGACGTATCCCTGGATGGGGATTGGGGAAACTAAGTCAATAATAAACCATCTCGATTACAAAGTTTCTTCTAAATACTCACCTCAAGATGGTCTCTACAGAATATGAAGACCAGACAACACACAATAAGGAACAGGATGAAGGGAACTCCTGCTTTCCATGTTCGTTTTGTGTTCGCTGTTTTCTTTGCTACCAACTGATCAAGCTTGGTCTGAAACAGGTGAAATAAATGATAAGTTGCTAGTCACGTGACTGGATCAAATCTTTTTAATAACTAAACGTTTGGAATTGATAAAACATACACGATAAAATTAAAACCAATCACATCGAATTGATGATGACTAAACTGGGTTAATGTGAGAGATCAAGTGAGGAATGTGTGAGGTATTTGTGGAATTTTACCTGTTGTCCAAGACAATTGTGTGGTAACAGCTCCTCCTCGTGGACACAGTAATTCATCAGCTGACTGGAAGAGAATTACGTGTTATATTATTATATACACAGGAATTAACACGTGTTATTTGGGAGAATGCACATGTTAAGTCAACGGAGAAAACATTATATGTTATTATGTTATGCTTCATACCCTAGTGCTTCATGCTTCACATTAAAACAGCCGATCTAGCCACAACAAACACAATATGTAAACGTATTAATTTAAAGCACTAATTGTCTTAATTAAATTGAATGAAAAAGGAAGCAGAGCAGGTCTAGTACGCTAAGTCCTGACGAAATATCTGTGAGATATATGATCTTTCAAATGTACGCTAATTCTAAAAGTTAAAAACATCAGTGCGACAAAGCATTATTCAAGTGACAAGTCAAAAGCCATGCTGGAACAATATGTGAAATCCAGGTGAAAATGAAAGTGAAATTGTCTCGCATCACAAACAGCCTAAAACCAACGAAGAGCTAAAATTCAGCAGTTAGCAAAACAAATGGATCAAAAAAATCCCAGCGACCAAACTGAAACGTCACGTGACGTCACAACATCACGCATCGTCACAAATTTACGTGACGTCACAAAAATCACATGACGTCACGTAACGGTGTTTGCGGTACCTGTCAACGGAGGAGGGCGACATCAAGATGGCATGTTGCTGGGGTGACAGCACGTGTTGGTGATGAGTGGAATGGGGGATGTTTGTTGGTGTGTCCCGGGTCTGTTCATTCACTGTTATGTCCCACTCTCGGTGGTCATGTCGCTAAATGTTAGAATCCAGTTTAAATCTTATGGTTGGTGGGCTAGACAGTGAAACACGCAAATGTAGTGTATACTTCGTTAAATTACATCATTAGCTACAAAGGAATTAAGTTGGTTAGTTTTATTAGTACTATATATACGAAGATCTAAAATGCCTCAAACAATCGAGAATCAAATAACCCAAAAAAATACACAAGGTAAATGGAGATGAACTACACAAAAATATAGCTTCAAAAATGAAGCTTCAAAAAAGAAGAAAAAAACTAAGAACCTTATCTTTCAACTTTGCATCTATTTAAACCCAAGCAATTAGTTCTATACTTCTCAATATACCTAAATTCCTCCCTATTTAATCCCCTGGGGTTACATTCTTTCAAAATGGCAAATTTATAGTTGTCAATAGTAAAAATGTCACTGTGATGTTCATAGGCATGAATCGAAAGGGCTGATTTATTACGATCCTCTACTTTAAAACAGGCTCTGTGTCCATTGACACGTTTATGAAAGTTTTGCATTGTTTGCCCGAAATAAGTGTCTTCTACAACTATCTCATAACCTTCTTCCTTTATAAGATTACAAAGCTTACATTGGGCCACATAAATAACATTTTTAGATTTACAATTATATCTGATAGGAACTACTAGCTTCTGTCCATTAACTACAAATTCTTCCCCTGCCCTACACATATGCCTGCATGTTCGGCATCTTGGTGCATTGCATTTCTGAGTCCACTCTGAATTATTTTCTGCCGGTGTTCTGCAGATAGCACTGTTTCTCAGTACTCTGTTACCAATCGAGCAGCCTTTCTTCGATGCCACCGTGATTTGTGTTGGGCCTAATAGTGCTTCAATGTCCGGTTCCAACTCCTTTAAGACTGATTTAAGCTGGGGCATCTCCGAGAGGTGTTGGACTGAAAACACCATGGAAGTTTTTTGGGGAACATGAACACTTCCTTCTGAGTTGGGTGGAGGATTGAACAGCTTCTCCAACACTTTTGGCTCTAAGGCGTTCAGTTTCGCTGAGTCGTGTCCACTACGACGCAAATCCGATTTCAATTGCTGTAGGTCCGCCTGCCGTGTATCCTCTCTTGAGTTCCTGTTAGCAATCCGAAGCATTTGGGAGAAGGCTACGGAGTTAAACACGTGTTTTGGGTGGAAACTGTCAGTACGGAGAAAATTCCTGGCATCTGTCGGTTTGGTGTAGAGCTTATATTGGATCTTGTTGGTTGTGTCCAAATACAAGGTTATGTCCAGGAAATTCACCTCCTTCCCCAATTCCCAGCTGCCAAACCTTATCCCGTATTCCGCTGCCAGTTGGTTCAGTTTCTGTACAAAAGAATCAAACTGCCTTGCCGTACCCTTCCAGATTATGAAGCAGTCATCGATGTAGCGTAAAAACAGTTCAATGAGACTATCCCAAGGGAGATCTTTCCTAAGTTTTTTATGCATAAGCCAGTGCAGAAATAG